AGATATTGACATCTGTCTGTGGTAACAGTTACGTTAGAAGTACAGAAAGAAACGCACACCTGAGATGCTTTAAGCAAGTAGTTTAGAAGACTACATCTCAAGAGAAGAAACCCGACATCTCATTGATCCCCTGGTCATTAAAAGTAGATAATATCTTAAAATCCTTTAAAATAATCCCTCAACAATATAACTCGACTCATCATTATCTCAAAAAACTTATCAAAGCAACTGCTGTCAAAAGTCGGAAACTCATCTCACATTCAGATATAAGAAGTTATTCGTTTTTCCTTACCATAGTGAATAATTCGATTTGTTTACTCTTCTAATTTGATTAAGTAAACTTTAGCTTGAACTGTCTTTTGCTTGCAAGGAATTACTACTGTGGTGAGAGCTGTCTGCTGTGCTAGCCAAAATTGTAGGAAACAATTGGCGTCAAGGTTCACGTACCGAATCTGGGTCATGAGAAAAAGCAATAACAATGCTTAACCTTGAGGAACTCACCAACAAATCACAGCAGACTTAACGTGTGCAAATACGATTCGCAGGTATGTGGCCCAACTTTCTGAGAAACAATCACAAGCAGTACAGAATAACCTTCAGCAAGAAAATAACCAATCAGAAGACGGTGCTTCTCTGCTAATAATAATGTACATAAAATCTATAAATATCTTTTGATTTTCTCAATAAACGATCTTTTGCCTGACCCTTGTCTTTTGTCGTTACAGTATAATTTTACTTGCTTATTTTGTTCCCTCAATTTCAGCTGTATTCATCAAAACACAGTATGTATACATCAAGGCGATCGTTACTCAACAAGTAGATCCTGAGATAAATATTTCTGTTTCACACAGACACCAATAGGCGCTCGCAACACAAGTGCGTCGGTGGCACAGTGGTTAGGACTCTCGCCGACCATGCACATGGTCCGGGGTTCGATCCCCTGCCGGCGCACACCCGATATCTATGGTATGCCTGAATTTGGGCAACCGATATCCATGCTGAAAATTCCATACCTGTACTGAAAATAAGGTGTGGAATCAAGCTGTAAATCAAAAAAAAATAAATAAATAAATAAAATATAAAATACTGAGAATACCAACGTAGCCGAATGCCTTCAACAGAATGTTGGGCTGTTAACTGGTTACATCCCTATTTCTCAGAAAGAAAGCAGGAAACCGCGTATAAAGGGAAGTCTTCCACTTCATTGCCTACTGAAGCTGGTGTCCCTCAAGGCGCTGTCCTTTCTCATTTTCTTTCTTCTTACATGACTTGCCTCACTCTGATCAAATAAACTTTGTGAAGTACGCTGATGATTTAACAGTTTCAATGGCTGTTAACTCCCAGCTAGATTGTACCAAAATAAATAGCTTTCTGTCGGGAGTCAGTAAATGGTCTGAGTCTAACGGTCTTAAACTGAATCCTTCTAAATGTCAAACTGTTAATTTCAACTTAAGATGTAAAAGACAGTTAAAAGAAGCCATCGATTCTCATGGCAGTTGTAAGATTGACGACAATGAAATAGGAATTAAATCAGAAATTAAGTATCTTGGACTTATTCTCTCTTCTGGTCTTCCCATGTCTCAGCGATCTCCAGTAAAATATTCCGCCTGACATTTTACATTAAGAAGTTAAGGCACTCGGGTATAACTCAACCCCTCCTCTTACAGTCCATAAACTCTTGCATCCTACCTATTCTTCTTTATTGTCTACCCTTATTCTTTCCTGGTTTGCTTAAAAAGGGCTATGTCATAATTCGTAGAATGCTGAAGACGGTCAGTAGGGTGAGTGGTGTCCCAGTGGACCACATAGTTAACGTCGTTGTCAATAGGCACTTGACCTCGTGCAATAAATTTGCTAAAGGGAAAGAGTCCAACTCCACAATATCTTTTCTTGACGTCCAACTAACCAGAAGAGAACAGGATGGAACACTGAGAAGATCTATCCACAGAAAACCGACGTGGAACGGACAGCTTACTAACTTTCACAGTTGGGTACCACTATACACCAAACGAAACCTGATCCGTTCACTCAGCTACAGAGTTCGCAGAATCTGCACCCCGGACACCGTAGAAGATGAACTGGACAACCTCAAGAGAATCCTCGTCGAGAATTGCTATCCAGAAAGATTTATTGCAAAATCTATGAATCCTAGACCAGAAAAGCCGCCCATACTCAGCGTCAAGAAAAAACTACTCTACATGAACCTCCAATTCAATGGAGATCTATCTGCGGAAACACTAAAAAATCGACTGTCGCGCTCACTTAAGAAGACCTTCTTCTCAGCTGAACTACGACTAACCTTCTCCACAAAACCTATGATTCATGTGAACGTGAAGGATAAGCTACCGCTGCTGGCCTCATCAATGTGCATTTATCAATTCACCTGCTCGTGTGGAGCCAGGTATGTCGGCCGTACCCAGCGCTCGCTTTCCAAACGTATCACCGAGCACTTACCAGCATGGTTTTACAAAGGAGAAAATCGATGCCCCCGCAGTTCCATCTTATAACATCTGATAGAATCCGGACACCAAGCTACACCGCAAACAAACTTCAAAGTCGTCTACAGAGTAAGAGGTGGTCTCCCTAAAGGTGTACGAATCAGACTTCCTCAAACTACAGAAGCAATGGCGATTCACTTGCTAAGTCCTGAACTCTGCATACAGAAGTTCGTTCAATCGCTACACTTGCAATGGACGTAATCTATCTTATTAGCCGACATGTAAATTCTACCTAATCTTTTCTTCTGTCTCTTCATTAGTATTATTTTGTCTTCTCAATTGTAACATTTTACATTCTCAACTTTCTTGTTCTCTACCCCCACCCGATTCAATCTCTACACCCCACTACCACTGTTACTGACTTGAACAACGCTCAGTTTCTAGTCATTCATGTTACGTCATCCAACTTATTCACTCAATTTCACTTCTACTTAATCTCTACCTGCAATTACCTCTGTTGCTATCCTGACCTAAGTTGTAACATTTTAGCCAATTATATTACGTCATCTAGTTTTTTAACTCAGTCTTACTTTAGTTGCTGTCTGATTAACTTTGTCTCTATACTACATCATTCTTGTATTAACTAATCAATTATCTAAACTTGACAAACCTCATGTACACACACACAAATATTTATATATAAATGCGATTGTACAGCTATGTGAATGAATTCGCCGAAAAGAGTCTCTTCGCTGAATGTCTTCTCTTTTTCATAAAGGGATTTTGTCTGACATGGAACATCCACTTCACCCTCAGCTTTCACCTTGCATCTCATCAAGTAGAACAAGAAGTAACTTCAGAAAACTGTATGCTCGCACGTCTAAGTGTAAAAATTCTATGATACCATACTTGGCACGTGTTTTATGTGATGAAAATAATGTCAGGCAAGAATTAACTAACTTTTCTTCATCCAGTAAATAAACAATCTCCTCCATCCATCCTTATAAACCTTCAAGTTTTACTTTTATTATTTCTCTTATATTTATGGTCCTGTTGCTTCTTTGTTTTACTCTCATAATTGCAAACACGAACTTATCTCTATGACTGCTGTAATCTTTGTTTTTCCCCTCATCATATCATGGAAAGAGAACATTATATTCAATATTTTTATACATGCTAGGATTTGTATACCACATCGACAATACTATGTGAAAGAAGCCCACGGCAATTTTCACTTGTATTATTATTATTACCTTAGCTGTTATCCTTACTATTATTTCCACTTTATATGCTTCATGTTTTTGAAATCACCCCTATTGTAAATGTGGAAAATTGTCTGTGTGACTAATTTTTATTTACAATTTGAGGAAATTAGATGTAATATTATTGTGATTAATGCTGAAAATTCCATTCTGTATCACAAGTACTGTTTTTGAAATAAAGTTTATTATTATTAATAATATTAACTGAATCCACTATAACATTGAAGGTCCTCATCTCCACAATCTGACATAATGCAAATTTATATAATTTGTTTTCAAGAATTAGACTTTGTAGGGATTTGATTTGTCGCAAGATTTTGACCACAGACTATTATTATTATTGTTCAAGTATTGATTTGTAGGGATTTGGTTGATTGGTTACAGGATTTCATCATGAGCTGACATTGGTTAGAGAACTATTGGAAAACCAACTAGGGAGTAATGGACAGCTGTTTCGTCCTAGTTTGGGACTCTTCATCAGTACGCACTCACCGACAGGGTTCAAACCTAAGACATTCTGGCTACAAGGCGAGCTAGCTCATATACCATTAAGTCACTGGGACCCGATCCAATGGCCCATGAATTTTAACTTCTGCCAATTCACGATATAGCGCAACCGCTAACCAATGTCTTCGGCGAGTATTTGTCGTCGCACCCGACCTGCTGCACCCTACTGGTCACGACTTATTGTTATTATTATTATCAGTCAGAGAACCATAGAAGACCAGTATTAGAGTATCGGACAACTATTTCATCCTACTAGTTTGGGACTCATCAGCAGTAGCCAACCAACCACCCACCCACGCTTCTACTGTCAGGGTTCAAATCTAGGGCCTACAAGTTACCGGTTGAGCTCGTATTCCGTTATTCAGCCACTGGGACGCAATTCAATGACCAGCACAACACAAGAACTGACTTCTATCAATCAATTCATGATGTCAGCGCGACTACCAGGCAATGTCATCTCACTGGTCCACCCGACCTGTGATAGACCTTACACTGTAGTCACAACTTCTGACTAGAACTCTAGCCAGCTAGTTACTGGATGATAATTTCTGTTTCAAAGAGAAAGACTCCATATGCAATAAGTTTCATTTGTTCGTCCATCTTTTTTTTCAAATCATTCGTCCAATAAATAGTTAAATAAATAAGTATATATATACAAGTAGTACAAGTATACATTAAAATAAAATATATAGTTGATCAATTGATTAATTGATCATTTCACATTTATACATAGACACGCAGACGCACAGACATACAGATACACAGACACACCTATACACACATACATATACACCTATATTTACACTCTATGTTTGTTTCAGTAGTTCCACCATTTGTTATCTAGGGCTTACACACAGCCTTTAAGAGGGAGTCATCATTCTACACAGTTCACTCGAAAGTAACAGACGGACAAGGGGAAGAAGCAACAGCAGGAGGAGGAGAAGGAGACTGGCTATCGTTACTGATATTGTTATTCATATCATCATTATTATAATTAGTAATAGTAGTGGTAGTATCGTCGTGTAGAGTATTCGCCTCTATTGATTGACCACTACTGCTACTACTACTACTATATGTTCTTATAGTCCACAACCCTGACGACTCTACACTATTCAACTGCTCTGCTTCATCATTATTGTCTACATCTTCTTCCATTCGTTCTCCTTCTTCTTGATCTTCGCCTCTTTCTACTTCTTCCTCTCTTTCGTCTTCCATGATTACTGTATCTTCCTCTACACCTTCTTCTTCATTTTCTTCGTCTATTTCTATTCCTTCAATACTTTGCACAGCATCTTCTTTAAATTCTACTCTCTCTTTATCCTCATCCATTTCTACACCTTCTTCCTCTTCTTCTTCGTTCCTTTCTACACTATCTTTGTCTACTTCTACTCTTTCGTCATCTTTATCGTCTCTTTCCACACCGCCTTTGTCTTCATCGCTTTCTACTACCGTTTTGTCTTCAAATTTGCCTACTTCTGCGTTTTCTTTGTCGTCTTTTTCAATTTCGCCTGGCTTTTCAGTTAGGAGTGAATTATTATCATTATTATGATTATTATCGGCTGTCGGTGTTGACGGATTGGAATGCAGAGGAGGAGGAGGTGATGGGGGAGAAGAAGGAGCAGGCAGCGGAGGCGGCGGAGACGGAGCAGGAGTATTAACTGAACTTATTCCATGATGATTAGTTGTTGTTGTTGTTTTGGACATTTTCTCCACTAATTCATAATGAGACATGCATACAATCTGAGAAAGGGGAGGAGAAAAGAAAAGACACCCAAATAAGAAATAGAAAAAGATAATGAATAAGCATATAAAGATAAAAACTACAAATTTAACTGACGAGAGGCGATTAAAGGAGCTATATGAGAGACAGCAGGAGTTAAACAAGATTACTTGTCTACTATCACTGTGATAGTGTTCCTACTACTTGTCGTGAACTGGATTATACGGAACACCGTGTCGTGGGGAGTGAGGAGACAGGAATACGCTGGACCACTGATAAAATGACTCTCGAAGATCTCGATATTGCGTGTGTGGATGATTTAATGTCTAATGTCATACACACTCGAAGACTTACAGGCGAAAACCAATAAACTGGCAACAAAGATAGGACTATAGGTGAACATAAAGAAGACAAAGGCGATGAAGATAACCAACCAATCAACAGAGACAGCAACCAGCACTAATCACCATCAACGGGAGGAATTTCATTTATCTGGGAAGCACCCTCTCAACCACATTAGGGCAATGATGAAAATGTCGAGGTCAGAATTGCAAAGGCAAGGTAAACTTTCATCAATCTGAAATCATTTTGAAAATCTTCTGCACTCCGCGACATAAACAACAGTATTCGGATTCTGTTCAACACATATGTTGAGTCCACTACTGCTTCTATATAGGTCAGAAATTTGGAGCCCGTATCACGAAAAGCATTTCCAACAGGCTAGCGTAGATTTTCATCAACAGCTTCCCCCTTTTGGTGGCTTCATGCTTAAAATCAGATGGCGGGTTGGAAAGAATTACCAACAAGATACACTGGTTGGGAACAAACCAACCAAGAGTATATTGCTCAACAAATATGTAGGAGAAAATTGCGATGAATCAGGTATACGTTGAGAAGGCCGTTGAACGACATCGTACGCCAAGCCCTCGAGTGGAACTCAAACGGATAACGACGAGTGGAGCGTCAGAGGGTGACATGGAAGAGATTTTGTGCGGAGAAGGAGATGAGAGACTATATGCAAACGTGGGATCAGCTGAACAGGACTTCAGAAATTAGAACAAAGTGGAGATATGCAGTTGAAGCCCTATGTTCCCCTCGTAACCCAAGGGAACAATAATAATAAGTAACATATGACGACATATATGTGATAGGATTTTAATATAAATTTTTAATATTTACATTCTATTATGAAGACATTTCTGCACAATGGAACCATTTGAAAACAAACAGACATACTAACAAGGAAATCCTAAGCAGTAACTCTGTAATAATGAACATTTTAAAATTTCAGAATATATAAACTTCCTACACACACATCACAGTAGTGGATAACACTGAGGGAGCAATACTGAGAGATTAGGTGTACAGCAAGTGTCAAGGTCAGGAGGGGAACTCATAGATTGAACATGGGACCAGGGCATGCATTGCGCATATGCATTCCGGGCCTCTGCCTTCAACGACGAAAAACTTACCACCACCTGACATAGAACTAGGCTGGAGAAAAGTTAAAAGTAGTCAAGCCAAGAGTAGTAGCATCAATCAATAAAGTTTCTAGCCACCAAGTAGTCGTGATACTGGACTATAACCTTTCTCAATGGTGAACTATGATTAACACTAGCATAAACCCTCAAGTTTATCCAGGTTAGTTATTCTTTCTCCCACAGACTTCGGTTCACGGTCGTTTTGTTTGTCGAATCTCTTTATATGGAGGGTGGCAAATTTAAACTCCTGAACTTCTTTATGCAAAGTCCTTTGCTTAAAACTCACTTAGTCATATAGGGTAGTGGGGGTATCATCATCAGTTGCTTTTTTTTCCTCAATAAAATGAATGAATGAAAGGTTTTCAGTTCAAACCATCAGACAGGATATTTTAGGAGAAATCATAATTTGGCTTATTTTTTTGTTTGTTACTGATTGAAAACGATTCAAGAAATCCACTGCCACATTACACATATCAACTCGCTTACAAAGCAGCAAGGAAAGTAAGGAAGGCCATGTACTACTGAGACAATGTGCGATATGAGATGGAAGAAATAAGACTGCTAGAATATGAGATGCTGCTGCTGTTGTTGCTATCCTATACAAAACCTGGTCCACTCATAATTCTATATCTGGATTGCACTACACAGAACGAGCGACTTAGCGGAAGTTGCAATTTATCGGTGCTCGTCATGTAACTCAAAGATATTAAGCGTTCTTCAATCATCCACCCCCTTGAAGTCATGGAGTGTTTTCTGTGCTGAAGAGTCCCTGCGATTAGGACGAAACTACCAAGTATATCCAACAGTTCCAGTGATCTTTTGATTACAGGATTTTCATCATGAGCTGACATCAGTTAGAGAACCACTGGAAAACTTTGGAGTACTGGACAACTGTTTCGTCCTAGTTTGAGACTCTTGTTCACTACGCACCCACCGGGATTCAAACCCAGGACCTTCTGGTTACAAGGTGAGCTCGAATACCATTAAACCACTGGGACCCCTTCCAATGTCCTGGGTTCGAATCCCGGTGCGTGCGTAGTGAACAAGAGTCCCAAACTAGGCTGACGAAACAGCTGTCCAGTACTCCCAGGTTTTCCAATGGTTCTCTAACCAATGTCAGCTCATGATGAAATCATGTAACCAATCAACCAAATCCCTACAAACCAACACTTGAAGATCTTTTGATTGATGTCATTTTCGTGATCACGCTTGAAACTAATGATCATTATTCACATGATATATGCAGTACTAAACAACAGACGAAACCATACAAATATCAAAACTACTAGACAGACTAGGCAAAAAGATTGTTTTATAGTCTATGAATACTATATATATTAACAAAATAAACTTACTCGTGCAAGAAGGGCATCTTCAGCAGAAGAGTTGCTATTATTATTATTATTATTAGATCGATTGTTAGTTGACCTAGATTTACGTTTCGGTATGATTGGTGGCAGTACAATAATACTGCCTTCAACATGCGCTAAACAAAATGAAGATGGACATATGGAACAGAAGACATGCGAAGGACGACCACATGCATCACAATGATGCCAAGGACAAAACCATCGACCTTAGAATAGAAAAAGAATGAAATAAATAAAAGTATGACAGTACATTGATATTCAAATTTTAAATATAATCATCACATGTATTACTCGGACAAGAAAAGCTTGTGTAAAGTTGGCCAAAATCACATCATCTCTGCTATAGACGTGATATCCAACTGGCTATTGATTAAAGCAAGTGTGTGTCGCACAGAAGCAGTTTGCGCCATCCTCCTCCTTTATGGCTGTGAGTGAGATAAGGTCACTGAAAGTCGAAAAACATGAAAAGACAAGCTAGCTGTCTTTAATCATTAGTGCCTGCGTTCTATCTCCCGTGTTAAGTGGTATAATAGGGTGAGCAATATTGAGGTTAGGCTTCGGTCGAGTACTAGATAAAGAGGGGAGATCAATCGAAGACGTTTTGAAGTCACATCGATTGAAATGGTTACGACATGTATCACGCATGTCTAGTCTAGCCATCGCCTTCCCCGACGGTCAGTGTTAGCCGCTGACATAGGATCAATCAGGCTGTAAAAGAGGTAGTGACGAGCAAACCAAAGAGTGGATTCAGTCCATGAAAACATTGATAGTTAGTCTGAGGCAGCCATGTAGGGAGATATAGACTACCTGGGTGGGGTCCTTGGGATTCCAGAAACCAATGACTTCAGAATACTGGTGATATGACTCTAAATCGTTCTCAGTGACGCAGATACGTTTTTCCATGTTACTTTCCTATCTTCCTCACATTTCTGTTTATTGTCATTCTTTCGAATCTTTTCCTTCCTTTATCCGCTACATAGAGTGTGCCAAGTTGATCTGTTGAAACTTGTGTGCTATGTTGGAACCTCCCTCCCTCCACACACACACCCTCCTTGTTGTAGCACACAAAGCAAGAGAAGACAGTTAACAGAGACTCAAATGCGACAGAGATAATAAACACAACTGTAAGTGAGGGAAAAAGAATAGTCGTTATATGGAGGAACAATAGATTTTTATTGGATATGACGATTCACAAAAAAAGTGAATACATCTGAGCCAGACATTGAGAATGAGAATTTTGAGCCATATCACCAGTTGTCTCCAGCCGCCATTGGTTCTTATCATTATCTCGAGGATCCTAACCAGTCACGAAGTCTACACCCCCGCCCTACATGGCTGGCTGGCTTAAACTAACAGTTGTGGATTTCATTGACTGATAAAGCCATGTTTAGGCTTGACCCCCATTAGCTCTTATGTCAACGGCTAATATTGCCCGTCGAGGAAGGCGGAGGCTGGGCATTTTGAAACCAATCAATCAGTCAGATATGTATTACTACTGACTCCCAAGGACTGCTTGGTGGTCGAATCTACTTGCTTCACATCAAATTCTTTAGCATGGATATTTCACTCGGCACTTGCAGTTGTTTCAATAGCTTGTGATTTACAAAAAACGTATAAACTATACGTTTATTCATGAATAAAGACTGGGATAAGTATGATCGTTGCGTAATAATAGTCTTTGGATAACTTCCTCGTGATTTCATGTTAGTTGACCTGTGTTTAGTGTATGACTGCAGGATTGTGTTCAAGACTCAGCATGCGTTATAAGCCATATTATACATATACAAGTACTTTGCCATCTCATGTCGGTTTCAGCACTCGAGTGGCTATATCGACGCCTTCACACAAGTACACTAACATACACACGATTGTCTGGAAACACAAAATTGGTCGTTGATCTTCCTAATCACAATATACAACTGACAACCAGTTATAAAATATCCTGATCTCTAAAAAATATTGTTAAGTAAATTATGATTCTAACTTATAACCGGATGATAAAGGTCAGTTGTATAAATGGAAACCTTGCTAAATCGGTAAAGAAGGCAGCTTAGGCGTCAGATTAGCAATCACCTCACACCGTAAAAGCAAACACCACTGATATCGAAACTTCAAAACTCTAGCTTTGAAGCCTTATATGTTCCGATAGGAACGTAAAGGAATACAAGAAAAAAATGAGTCAATGAGTCATAGTTGTTGGAGACAAAGTATCTTATTATCTGGTAATAATCAATACAATTGACTATTCCTATCTGTATGTGACAATGACTAGTCAGATACAAGGAACAGTCTAAATTTCAAGTGTTGGTTTTGTAGGGATTTTGTTTGATTGCATGGAGGATTTCATCATGAGCTGATATCAGTTAGAGAAGCACTGGGAAGCCTGGACAGCTGTTTCGTCCTAGTTTGCGACTCTTCATCAGTACGCACCCACCCACCGACAGGGTTCGAACCCAGGAACTTCTGGTTACAAGGCTAACGAGCTCATAGTTCATAAAGCCACTGGGATCTGATCCAATGGTCAGCTCATGAATTCTAACACTCTGCCAATTCACAACATAGCGGGACCATTTCACAAGGTCTTCTTCGATGAGTTACTGCCTCATCACCTTCAACCTGGTCTGTATGTACCCTACTGGTCACGACTGGTCCCACTAGAACCCCAGGTAACCATCTACCTGAATAGGCCTAGTCACTAGTGAGTATCAGAGTAAGTAATTTTAAATTACGGGGAGTATAACGATGGTAGAATCAGTGCTCGACGAAGTGAGTTCAATGCCTCCCCCGCGCCCACCGACCAACACACATCTCTCTAAACCTCACCGCTTCATTTTCCTACTCTAACCAGTAAGTAGCAAACTCGGAAAAAAGAGAGAGAAGGTTCAGAGTCATGAAAACATAACCGCTACTACTGCATAGATGTGTGTGAGTGATGATCTGAATTATTTGGTTTCCAAAGGAAAATGTGGTCCCTCGTGCGAGCGCGCACACACACATGGGCAGACAGACAGACAAACATTGAATTAATCATCCTGACTCATTAAAATACCACGAGAAAACTTACCACTAACAGGCGGTGCATCTAAATCTAAACAGAATAAATGATATACTTTTGGACAATCAGATTTACTGCACACAATTAAATCGGATGATGATGATTTTTTCAATCTCTGTTTATCATCACCATCAACGCCATCACCATCATCTTCATCCTCATCATCATCATCGTTGTCGGCATCATTCTCATCATCATGATCTTCTGCTTTGATTGTTTTCATCATATTAGGAGATTTCAAAGAGGAACCAGCACTACCACTACTAAGTCGAGATTGTTTGTGTTTAATTGGTGACTGATGATGAGTCACAGCTGCAACAAGTCTTTCTAATTCACGCTTGAGTCCACGTTTATTTGATGAGGAAATAGTATTTGTAGGCGTAGTAGTAGCAGTAATTGAAGGATATATTGAATTTGATAATTCAGAAGATTGTAATGAACGATGGCCAACAGGAGCTTCTACTTTACCACATCTGAAAAACAATAGTGTAGATACATATATAAATTGATAATTTTTACAAAGACAAATCTTCATATCTTTTTCTCTTCATTATAAATCGACAAACAGGATTTCATAATGAAAACCATTGAAAAAAAAGTGGCAGTAGGGGAGAGCAAGCTGTTTCGTCCTAGTTTGAGGATCGTCAGTAGTACGAATTCACTGGGGTTCAAAATTTCGCCTTACCGGTTGCATGGTGACGAGCTCGTAGACCATTAAGCCATTTGGACGCGATCCAGTGGCCAACACATGAATTCCAACTCCTTCCGATTCACGATACGTGGTCGCGCTATGTCATGAATTCATGCGCTAGCCATTGGATCGGATCCAGGTGGCTTAATGGTCTACGAGCTCTCCTTATGACCTGTGAGTTCTGGGTTCGAACCCCGGTGAGTACGTTCTACTGAAGATTCCCAAACCAGGACAAAATAACTGTCCAGTATTCACAGCTGGTTATCCATCAATTCTTTAACCAATGTCAGCTCGTGACGAAATCCTGTACCGTATCGAATCCCTTCAAACCAACACTTGAATGGAAATCATTGAATTCCGAAAAGATAACTGAATGGTGGTCACCAGTAGCGTAATGAAGACGGGTGGATGATAGGAAGTGGTTAAAAATTGAAATCAACATTGGTTGGAGGATTTCACCATGAGCTGATATCAGTTAGAGAACCATTGGAAAATCAACTAGGGGAACTGAACAGCTGTTTCTTCCCACTTTGAGACTCTCCAGAAGTACGCACCCACCGACAAGGTTCGAAACTACGACCGGGTTACAAGGCATGCTCGTAAACCATTGAGCCACTGAGACCCGATCCAACGGCCAGCCCATGAATTCTAACTTCTGCCGATTCACAACATAGCGCGACCACTTTGCAATGTCTTCTTCGATGAATTACTGCCTCACCACCTTCAACCAGCTGTACCCTACTGGTCACGACTTCCCACTAGAACCCCAGGTCACTGCCTGAATAGGGCCAGTCGCTAGTGAGCATCAGATCCACACAAAAACCAACACTTGAAATCAACATTTTAAGTCAATGACTGGCTGGTGGCAGAAGTAGAAGTGTTTATTTTCCTCCAATCAGGATTTAGTTTACGCCTTGTGGACATGAAATAACTTCACATTGGACAACCATGTTTAACCTTGAGCCAATTGCCAACCAATCAGAACTATTTATTTCTCTCTAACCTAGTCGAACTTTATTGTGGCTAGAAATGTATAAATATTCATTAATAAAAAAAGTCCGTTACCAAGTCTCTTCTCATCTCCTGTTACACAATGGGCGGCTGACCTCGATCCCTGATCGGATCGTAAGTATCCCTTGCTACACGGTCCTAAACTAAGATAAGAAAAACAGCTGGTTGCTGCGTGTACTTTGTGGTTTTCCATGAATGACTCACTTAGTGGTAACTATTCGTTACGGAATATCTTAATTTTGTGCACCTATTTTAAGCTACAGCATTTGATAACGCGTATATAAGCTAACGAGTCAAACGATGTCATCTGAGATTCTAAACAACGGAGCGGAGATGAATCTAAACTATAAAATATCTCCATAGCAACGACGTCAGTGGTTGATTATCTCTTAGCTTTTCCAAACCATTCCCAGGGGTAACATACAGTGAATGGTCGGGGTACCACTGAGATAATATTCGTAGAGCACATCAAGTTCCCCAATGCTCATGTCCGAAGATGATGCTTCCAGAGATCAGTCAGGTTGACATCTAGTCTAATCTCCACTAGGATAAAAACATTTACCTTCATCAAAGAAGAACGTTCTGACTACCACGTTCATGAGTAAACATTGTTAGATTTCCTCGGTTTAAGACCCTTATACACCAATTATTATACTAATTTATGTTCCGTATAAAATGAACTAATGGGCATCAACAATTTAGGAACAAATCCCGGGAAAAAAACCGTAAGTGCGGTTCACTCTAAAATAGAAATAGTCTAGTATAAATGTTGATGTGACATAACTCTCAATCAATATCATCAAATTTGAATACCATTATAACTAACTCAATCAATAAATTATTAAAGGAGAAGAAAGTATTTCTAAATCTCAAAGAAACATGCACACACTGACATTGAATGTGATAGGCAAAAATTTAAAAAAATGATGATGAAAGGAATTCAAGGCTTAAAAATTAATTTAAGACAAAGTAAAGTTGAATTCTACAGAAAACAAATTGATTTATTGATCATTGTCGTTTTTGTTTAAAGGAAGTGTAGAAATTTATGGCGCACTTTTAAAATTTACTGATTTCATTTAAATAATAACGATAAGAAGAGGAATAGTTAATGACAAAACCTAAAGCATGCGTACCATACAAAAACACATTTTCCCCCGGAAAATTTGAACATCATTCAGATATAACCTGATAAGGCGAACAACGGATCAACGACTTATCGATTACTAATCATCAAACTCAGAAATAAAGTAATAACTCTGCATTGAATTGAGAATTGTAAAATTTACTGCCCCTAGTCTAACAGGCTAGTGCTGAAGACTTCTATCATCATTAGCAGCCGTCTTCATTGTTCCGACAGTGAAAAGATCGTATGCTCCGCTAGAAAGGATAAACCAGCTAGGGACTCAATAGGCAACGAATCAACCAACCAACCAACAAATAGGTGGAAGAAAATACAGATGGATTGAATCAGTCCCAACGGGTTAATCTCTGACGAAATCTCAGCACGGATACAGAGGGATAGTTTCGCATATGCCAGTTTACGCCGTCTCTGGCGTAGACGTGATATCCGACTATCGACCAAAGGGCAGGTGTACTGCTCAGCAGTCCGCTCCGTCCTCCTTTATGGCTGTGAGACCTGGCCATTGAGAACAAAAGACATGAAAAGACTAGCTGTGTTTGATCACAGGTGTCTGTGTTCTATCTCCCGCGTGAAGTGGTATAACAAAGTGAGCAATATTGAGGTTAGGCGTCGAGTGCTTTTTGACTGCAGAAGACAAGGTAAAATGGCATTGTTTCCCTGTATTCAAGGAAATAATAATAATAAATAAGTTCAACAAACTACACTATAATAACCGCTGACCATGGGATCGGGTCTCAGTGGTTTAAAGGTCTACGATCTCGCCTTGTAATCGGAAGGTGCTGGATCCGAATTCCGATGGGTACATACCACTGAAGATTCCCAAACTAGGGGGACGAAACAGCTGTCCAGTATTCCCAGCTGGTTTTCCAATGATTCTCTCACCCATGGTCAGCTCATAATGAAATCCTGTAAAACAATAACACAACTGTACAAAGCCAAATGTCAGAGAGACTGATTCATTAAAACACATTGACATAGAACAAATCAAGTGCAAACTAACCGGAAACATTTCGTTTCAACACACTTGTCTTTGCACGCTGAAGCATTCATCACGCTTCCTGAACTATTTCTTCCACTTGCCACTGAATGATTCGACACAGTTGAAATGGAAGTTTTACTGGAAACGGAATCACGTCCATCATTATTTGTATGCGCCTTTTCAGTACCACCTGTACGCGAGTTACTGCTGCTCCCGCCTTGTGAAGTATTCCGTCTAGATCCACGAACTGTATCTGCATTCACTGGAACAGTTGATGAACTGTTCGACTCAGAACAAGAGTTGGCAGATGTACCATTATTACTATTATTAGTAGTAGTAGTAGTACCAACTTGTGCAGTATTACCATTATTATTATTATTTGAGGACTCTGAACGTGCACCTAAAAATCCAACACAATTTGAAGCTCCACATCGACAATTTAAACGTTCTTGACCCAATGCAACAAAATTATAGTTGAAGGTTAACTCTTCACCAGCAGCGATATTTCTGATTTAAAGTTATATGAAATAAATAGGATAGACATAAGGATATAATAATAATGATAATAATAATCATAGCAGCAATTTTTGATACAATTATGGAATTTTCAGCATGTAGTACTGTGGTGAGACAAAATTGTAGACAACAATTAAAGTCAATGTTACATCCCGAATTGGGTTCATGAGAAAAAGCAATAACAGAGCTTAACCTTGAGGAACTCACCAACCAATCAATCAGCAGACTTAACGTGTGCAAATACGATTCGCAGTTATATGGCCTGACTTTGTAAGAAACGGCAAGAAAGGGATGACCTTCAGCAAGAAAACAATCAATCAGAAGACGTGACATCTCTGCTAACAATAACGCAAATAATGTACATAAGAGTTTATAAATATCTCTTGATTTTCTCAATAAACGATCTGTTGCTTGGCCCTTGTCTTCTGTCGTTACAGTAGAATATGACATCGAATCTTCTCATTACATGGGTTGTAATTAAGACAAGGGCATTTACACTTATAATCTTATTCAATAAGAATATGAATGTAAAGTTAAATTAGGTGAAAATATTCAAACAACAATGTAACAGTGGGGAAAAAATGAGGCCATTTGCCTTAGAGCTCCGCAATAAGTTGGTAACCTCCTGCTTCATACTTTTTTCATCAAATAAAATGTCTGCTAAATGAGGCTTTGTAGAGTTTTTGTACTTAGCCGTCTGAGCACAAAGTCTTCTATATTTGCTTCTAGTTCCCCTACTTGATAAGATGCAATTAGGGAGAGTTGTGTATTATAAAGACGATGTTCATAGTCTAACAAGATAATATTTGCACATTTCTTGTGGGAGTCCATGTGTCTATATACAACAGTATTAACGAGTTGGCTTAGTAACACACCACTCATCCCAACTGACAGCTTTTAGTGTCCTTCGCAGTGTGAAAAAGTCTTTCTTAAGTAGTCCAGGAAAGATTAAGGTGGTGGGGAGGGGTGGAAGGCAGTAAAGAAGAATAGGTAGAATAAATACAAGAATTAACAAACTTAGGTTATCTTAACTTCCTTACGTAGATTGTTAAACGAAATATATTCCTGGAAACTAACATGATATGGGAAGACCAGGAAAGGTGATCAGAGGATCCCCCTATAGATATGAAAACGGCATTATTATCCGTATCATTTACGATTAATAAACGTCTCCCTCTTTCTCTTATTACACTCTTTGTTTTTGAAATAAAGACATTTCAGAAACACTTTTATCAGTCCTCTTAGTATTCGACAAGGGTAAGTTTTAGGCGAAATATACTATGAGTTTTAATATTCAGGGTGTTCAGAAAACCCTTCATTTTAGGGCGGGATAATTACATTTGTACGCTGTTTTACGCTAGTCGGTTGTTCTATGAGAGACCCCAGAACCATCTAGAGTTCCATCCATCCATTGCAAACCCGAATAGCTCAATGGTAACGTCTCTGACTGCAGCACTGGATGATGCGGGTTCGAATCTCAGGAGGGACATGAGTTTCTTCAAGGTTGCAGATACGCCTTGCTGACGAGTCCCAACTAGCACGAAGCCTAGGTTGGAGACTTTCTGTCGGTTGTCTGCAACCATCTTATATCATCAAATCAATGTGCACCGTGATGGTGAGCTACCTAGAATGGCGGCCGCATTGCAAACCTGAATGACTGATAGAATTCAGTCTGCACCAAACAAAGAAAGGACTAGACACATTACACTAGTTACTAGTGTCCAATCAATGCATCAGTAAATCTATATTATGAAACTAAATAAAGTGACAATGCACATCCTTGACAGACACACAACTAGTTGTCAACAAAACACTACAGATGGATAATCTCCCATATACCCTCACATTGCTATTGTAGCATAAGTTCGAGTACAATGACTTGATGATTAGTGTAATGTACTTCGTTTTATAGACAAACCGTGGGTGATGCATTAATACAACTGAAATGAAAGTCTACAAACAGTTTGCTAAGAGCTTATTATCAGAAAGATAGTTTCCCGTTAAAAATTCAAAGAAAGATCTTAAAAATGAGTGAATAACCTTCACCATATCAATGCTCTTCACAGCTTCTATATACACAATCACATATGTACAAACAGCTTATGCGTTAAGGAGAATTTTCTTTGTGAAACTATTTGATTACAAAAGAGCAATGGATGAAATAAACACAAGAGACGGACTATTAATGTTATTATTCCCTTGGGTTCCAAGTGCAGCATACGGCTTCAACAACACATCTCAACTTTGTTCTATTTCCTGCGGTCCTCTTCAGCTGGGTGACTCCAAGAATGTCTATAATCTCTCCTCTCCTCCTCCGCGCACGATCTCTTCCATATTACCCTCCGACGCCCCACTCATCGTTTCCCACTTGTGTTCCACTCAAGGGCTTGGTGTGCGACGTCATTCGACGCTGTTCTCAACTTATGCTCGATTCATCTCCATTTTCTCTTACATATTTGTAGAACAATAGACTCTGCGTTGGTTTGTTCTTTCTGACCAGCCGGTTGGTCATTAGATCTTCAGTATGGAACCAACCAGCGAAATGGAAAGCTGCTGATAAAAGTCTGCAACTGGCTGTTGGAAATCCTTTTAGTGACTGACACGCAGTGCAAATTTCTGACCCATATGGAAGCAGTGATGGACTCAACATTTGTGTTGAACAGAATCCGAATCGTGTTGTTTATGCTGGCTGGCTGAGTGTGGCGCAAGATTTCCAAACTGGTTTCAGGTTGATGAAGGCGTATCTTGCTTGTTTTTCTGATTCTGGCTGACTGGCCGGCTTTGATATCTTTATCCCTGCTGTCCAACTGCATGTGGTTGAAACCAAGCTTCCTGACCAGATAAGTGGAGGAATTGACCTCTGTCAAATGTCTCCTGTTGATGGTGATCAGTGCTGCTTGTTGTTGATGCTTTTGTTGGCCGGTTGATTCGTTATCTTCATCACCATCTTCTTTATGTTCACATGAAGTCCTATCTTCTCTGACTAATTCTTCAGACAGTCTTTTGGTTTAAATTATTTCTCAATTTATATTATATGAAATTAAATTAAATTACAAAATTATCTACTAATAGTACTTTCTTCATTAGTGTAACTGGAATCAAATACTTTGAATATCGTAGCATAGATGTACTTTTCTAGTCTTTTGTGAATTATAAATAGAATATAATAAAATTATAATTACTGGACACTAATTTGAATAAGTACAAATATTAGTATCTCGTATTTTTTGTTGCACGATTAAAAAATATGTGTAGACAACAGTGTTATACATAGACAAGAGTCTAACAGCACTATTTTTTATGTTAATGTGTATATAAGAGTACAAATGTACTAATACTGAAATAGTATTATTATATTTTAACAACAATAATAATAATATTGAGCAGACTTAGTGTACAGCTGTTGTCCAATCACTGGGTCATAGGTTTGAACCCTGCCCTCCTGCCTACCAATATCTGGACTAACAGGTAGTATTATTAATCCTTATGGCCAACTGCAAGTGGCTGAGTAATACTTGGTAGTAGAAGATAAAACCCATAATCAGCTGATTAAACGTGACATAAGCCAACTGAAATTAACCAATCAAAAAGCGTGTAAATTGCTTACACACTAGATTGACGCCTACGCACTTGTAAGCAAATGAAGTAAGCATTCTCTGATTGGTAGATTTCAAGCATTGCTGCTTTACTCGGCTAATCAGCTGATTAATGCGCTTTCATCCACTGCTGTAAAACTATCATTTTATTTTATTTTTTTATTAACAAACCTTAATTGTGAAATATTTACTCATCCTTCCTACATAATTTCCAAGAAAACCGATAGAATATCATGTAATACAAGACCTTATCCCCTCGGATAAATGATCAATAGTCAGGAATACTCACATTTCGATCCAAAGATAAAATTGAATAACCAAACCAAAAGTAGGAAATAAAAAGATAAAATTGATGTGTTTTATTCTGGATAAAAAATTAAGATCTAACCCAGTGACTTTTTATTTTTGATCACAGCTTGATTCCACACCGTATTTTTTGTTAAGTATGGAATTTTCAGCATGTGATATCGGTAGCCCAAAATTTGCAGGCCGACCATAGATATCAGGTGTGCATCGGCAGGGGATCAAATCCCGGACCATGTGCATGGTCGGCGAGAGTCCTAACCACTTACGCACGCCATCTCTGACAATTACGTTAAACGGTTTCACTGTGACAAAGTGATGTAAAACATTGGTCGCAGTAGCACAGTCGTTGATCCAACAGTAGAAAGCTCACCATTTACACCAGAAGTGCAGTGGACCAGTGGCTGTATATGGTACACATTACCAAAAGCATTTCCAACAGCCTACTGCAGAATTGTATATATTGGAGAAGATTTGTAGCTCAGGTAAATGATTTTGATGTAGTTGTGTTCTCTGAACTGAACGCTTTACTTGAGAAGCCATCATTGTCCTCCAAGGTAACATCCGCAGTGCATACTTCGCTTTGTTGAAGTGAGCTTTGAAATTTCCCCACGAGTTCATTCGTCACCTCTCCTGGTGACCTTGAACGTGGTTGGTTGCTCTTGTCTGTTTTAACACCCCTCAGTTTACTTATATTTGCATTGATTGTTTCCCTAACATGAAGTTTGACTTTCTGCGCATGAGATTTTCCTCTTACGGATTGGTAGATTCTATCTATGTCAATGTAGCTGGTAACTGCTGATTTACTGAAATATCAGGTTTCCGAAAATTCTCTGGCATTCTTGGTGTTTTCTCTTCCAAATATTTGGATGTTGTCCGAGTGGAACTGATGTCCATGGTTATCTGTATGCAGTGAAACAATATCAGGGAGTGGATATCATGTCTTTTGACGACTAGTTAGTGTTCATGGATGCGAAGACAAACAGGATATCCATTTTGGCCAATGTAATGTTTTTCGCAGTCGTTGCGCAATTTATTTTGTAGATGTTGTAAGTCTTAACTTTTTTCGCTGTTGAGTCATTTGGTTGACAAAGAGCTGAGTGCGAAGTGATTTTGTTGGTTTAAATGCGGCAATATCAATTCCTAAAAGTTTGAAGAGTATTGCAGTAATTTCTGAGACGTTCTTTATAAATATGATAAGATAATTTTCTTTGTGTTTTTTCTTTGCGGGCCTTTGATTTGGTTGATTGGCTTTAACAACCGTTGCTTATGCTAACTCGACACTGGAGATCAGACGGAAAGCCAGAAGGAATGGGTACCAAACGAGCAGGTTAGATTCTCAACCTGAACACATCCAAACTTCTAGGCCTAATAGCCGGAAAAGGGGAGGGGAAGATTGCCCATGAGGTCCATAAAAATAATGCTGCTACTCAGTGGAACTTGAAATGTTCCACTCGACATTAATAAGGGTTGAAAATACACAAATAACCATCATAATCATAATCATCATTATAATGACAAAATACCACTAACCTGACAGCAAATAATCCAATTCTATTATCACCATTTACAGTCCATTTTTGTGTATTCAAATTAGGATCACACGAGTGATTCATGAAACGGGATAGATTACCCTTAGGTCCAGCATCAATAATACGTTGACTATCTAACTTCATCATATAATAATTAGTTATATTATTTTCATGAGCAAATCTTAAACGTCGATTCGCCTCATCTTCATCAATTAAATCACCAATGTATTCATTAACAAATTCTCCCTGGAATTAGAAATTTGTTTGTTTTTCAAGAAAAGGGGAGGAAAAACAAAAAGAATTTCATTGGAATTATTATTATTACTGTTAGGTGGGAATTTATATCGACGAAAATTTGATGAAAGTTACAGGATTTCATCATGGTGAACTGACATTAGTTAGAGAACGATTGGAAAACCTGGTAGTAAGGGACAGCTGTTTCGTCCTAGTTTGGGACTCTTCAGAAAGTTACCACAACAGGCATGCCCTCCCTCCATACAAACACACTTACAGAATAATAATAATAATTTGCTTTATTCCAAAACAGTACTTGTGACACAGAATGGAATTCTAAACATATTTACTACAGTATTGCATCCAGTTAGTACATTATCAATAAATAGAATTCTAAATAGATTAAGGAAATCTCAGTTCATTATGACAACAACATATTGGCATATCGGTAGCAAAGCCAAAGTTAAACAGTGTCTGAAGGTGTTAGGAAAGTAGGAGCTGTCATATTTACTGGCGTAAGCGAGAGAAAGAAACAAAGCAGCGCATAACGGAAAAGAAAGAAAAAAAGAGAGAGAGAAAAGGAAAAGAAAGAAAGAAAATGTTGTACCTATAAATGATATGAGTTGGAAAGACGAGGTCCAGTTGTACTACTGACTATTTAATGAATTATAGGTGTCACGCCTAATGCTTTCTTTATCGCACAGAACACGAGCTAAGTAGGGTATGGTTGAGTTTTTGTACTTGCTGGTGCGAGCATATAGTTTCCTATATAGGCTTCTGGTTGTGAGTGAAGAGAGTGGTGCGAGTTCGATAAAATGGATTTGGCCCATTTTTCACATGAGTCCATGTGCCTGTCAACCAGAATATTAACAAGCTGGTTAAGTGGCACGTTGCTTACCCTGCTAACAACCTTTAATATTCTGCGTAATATGTTATAGTCTTTCTTCATTAGCCCGGGAAAAACTAAGGGGGAACAATAGAGAATAATAGGCAGAATACGAGAGTTAACTAATTGTAGGAGTAAGAGTTGGGTTATACCAGAATTTCTTAACTTCTTGATGTAGAAGGTAAGATGGAATAAGCTATAAAAACTGTCTGAAACATAAACAGAAATAACTGAGATGAACTGGATTTCATGTTCGATCACAAACTGATGTAAGTTGTAGAACCATTGAAAAATCAGTATTTGACAACCATTTCATCATTGTTTGGGGTTCTCTTAAGCTTCACATACTACTACTCATGACCCTGCCAAAAGGGAAAACCGATATCTTTCAGGTTATACAAGGCAATCTTGTTGACTGTCTGGCCACTAGGTTCCAATCCCATGGCCAGCACTTCAGTCGTAACTTCACTCCCCTTCCCAATCGACATCATATATATCTGTCTTCAAACTAAACAGAAATTATTGAAATGTCATTATTGGAACCATCTTTAAGCCGTTTAATTCCGCTATATCTAGCTATTAACCCTTAGAAAAATCTCTAGAATCCATGCTTATTACTTGCGTTTAACAAATCAAAAGTAAAATATCATTCTCATAGGCAATTACTGAAATATCCGTAACCTTTTACCAATTCACTATGCCATCGACATCATTTATCTCCGTTTCTATGCAAAAACAAATAGATTTAATTCACGGTGTAGGTGTGTATAAGTAATCGCCGAAACAAATTTATCACACGTTCATTCCCACTCTCCCTAATAGAGGATAGAAAACAAGCAGTCAGTTACAATTTGAATTTCCTCAGGTATAAAGAAATACTGTGATCACAATGCCAAGTATTACAAACGTGTGTTATCAATCACCACTGGAATATCTGCCATCTGTTTGTCTGTCTGTTTTCGACACAGAACTTTGCACCAATGTGCGGCTGTTCAAGTCGCCACTCTCCCTCCATGTAGCACACAAAGCAAGAGAAATGAATATTAGAGACAGTAAACAGAGGTGTGAAACAAAGGAATAGTAATAACGAAGAACAATACAGTTTCATTGGAAATCATAAATCACAAGGAGTGGATGCATCTGGGCCAGCCATTGAGAACGATTTTGAGCCATTGGTTTTTATCGTCCCGAGGACCCCAATCAGTCAGGAAGTCTACACCTCTCTACGTGGCCTAGACTAACTGTTGTAGATTTCATTGACTGATGAAGCCATGTTTTGGTTTGACCACCGTTAGCTCTTTTCCAGCCTGACCCTATATCATAGATAAGTGAGGGAAGTAACCTCTTTCAATTTTTTTCTCGTTAATAGTGATTCCTGCATGTTTTTGTTGTTGGTTGGTTGTCTTCATTACTTCCGTGTTCTTTATGTTCACTTATAGTCCTGTCTTCGCTGGTAGTCTCCTCTGGTAACTTGTTGGTTTCCACCTGTAGGTCTTCAAGTTTGTTTGACATTAGACATAAACCACCATTGATATCCAGATCTTCTCGAGTCTTATTACCAGTCCCAGTGTATTCCTGTCTTCTCGCTCCTCACGCACTATGTTCCGCATAGTCCAGTCCACCACAATTAGGAATATCATCTGTGATAATAGGCAGGCAGCCTTGTCTTTCTCTGGTTTTTCCGTTATAGGTCGTCTGAAACGTGGAATTGTCATTATAGAACTTTTGGGTATCCTATTATAAAATATATGTTCTGTAAGTAAGTTGAACTCGGGCTGTTCATTTAACAAAATTACGGTCTACCTAAAAACACACAAGATGACAACAGTGAAGAATAGATGCCAAAGTCAAATGACCTTGAACCAATCCATCAGATCCCTCAGCATTGTCTGTCTGCCTCTGTCTGTTTTCAGCACAGAACTTTGCACCGATATGGAGCAGTTCAAGTTGCCACACTCCATGTAGCACACAAAGCAAGAGAAGAAAGTAAGAAAAGAAATGCAAAACAGAGATATGAGGCAAAAAGAATAGTAATATTGGAGAACCATGTGGTTTTAAAGGATATTATAAGTCACAAGGATTGGGTGCATTATTCATATTGAGGATTTTAAGTCAAATCACTAATTGTCTCCAGCCTTCATTGGTTTTTACAGTCCTCAGAACCCCAACCAGTCAGGAAGTCTACACCTCCCTACGTGGCTGGCTTGCTGACTTAAACTAACTGTTATGGATTTCATTGACTAGTGAAGCCATGTTTTGGTTTGACCACCGCTCTCTTTTCCAACCTGATTCATCCTGTGTCAGCTAACGTTGCCTACTGTCGAGGAAGACGATGGCTAAGCATACGTAACACATGTCCTAACCATCTAAGTCAATGTGGCTTCATAGCCTTGTCGATTGATTTCCCCTCCTTACCTAGCACTCGACGCCAAACCTCAGCATTGCCTACCCTACTATACCACTTCACACGGGAGATAGAACGCAGGTACCTATGATCAAAGAGCATCAATTTGTAATCGCTCAGCACTAGAAATTCATGCTCTTCATAATCTTCGTTACAATTTTCACCCTAACCTTAGTGTGATAAACCGACTCTAATCGTAACCCTAACCCCAACCCTGAATCAGGATGAAACTTACAGCGGAGATTATGAAAAGCATCAATTTGTAATGCTGAGCGATACGATTGATTGGTTCAATGTTATTTAACTTTGGTGGCTGTTCTTTAGGGTTGTCAACAAAAGCAGTTTATTTCTTAAACATCCTGTTTTTTTAATATTCAACACATAAATTGTGTATCAGTGAGCATTTTAAAGCTGTCTGGTCAGGTGCTCATTATGGTCGAAAGATACTTGCAGGTTAAACAGTGAAAGAAGACTAGTACTTACTATCTGAATTAAAAAAAATTGCAGGATTTCATCATAAGCTGACATTAGTTAGGGAACCATTGGAAAACCAGCTGGGAGTACTGGACAGCTGTTTTGTCCTAGTTTGGGACTCTTCATCAGTAGTTTCAATCCACTAGACCACAAGAGTCATGCACCTGTGAAACTACATCAGCTGAGATGGTTAGGACATGTATTGCGTATGCCTAGTCATCGCCTTCCTCGACAGGCAATGTTAGCTGATATATAGGGCCAGGCTGGAAAAGAGCTAGCGGTGGTCAAACCAAAACATGGCTTCAATAGTCAATAAAATCCACAACAGTTAGTTTGAGCCAGCCGGCCACGTAGGGAGGTGTAGACTTCCTGACTGGTTGGGGTCCTCGGGACGGTAAAAACCAATGGTTGGAAACAATTGGTGACATGGCTCAAAATCGTTCTCAGTGGCGCAGATGCATCCACTCCTTGTTTTACTCTTCGTTATTACTATTCCTTTTTCTCACACCTCTGTTTACTGTCTCTATTATGCATTTCTTCTCTTGCTTTGTGTGCTACATGGAGGGAGTGTGGCGACTTGACCTGCCGCACATTGGTGCAAAGTTCTATGTCGACCGACCGACCGCACCTGTGCAACAGGTATCAACTGTTATTTGTTGACGTTGTATGATGGATTCGAGTCTCAGTGGAAATACCATTACTTCCTGGAAAGGCTACAGATGTACTGTCAGCTAACTAAGGATATTAATCACAAAATATGTATTGATACTTTGAAAAGTTGATCATGTATGTTTTTCTTTCATCAGTATTCTTCCATAGAAGGTCGATTGGAATTATTGAGTATACTTGAATAGACTTCGATTTACAGTCGATTTAGTATGTATCAATATATATATATATATATATATATATATAATTTGCTTTATTCCAAGACAGTACATATGATACAGAATGGAATTCTCAGCATTTTTACTACAGTATTGCATCCAATTAGTACATTATCAATAAATAGAATTCTACATATATTAAGGAAATCTCAGTTCATTATGACAACAACATATTGCATGTCGGTAGCAAAGGTAAAGCAGAAACAGTGTTTGAAGGTGTTAGAAAAGTGGGAGCTGTCATATTTACTGGCGTAAGCAAGAGAAAGAAACAAAGCAGCACATAACGGAAAAAAGAGAGAGAGAGAAAAAAGGAAAACAAAGAAAGAAAATGGTGTACTTATTAATGATATGAGCTGGAAAGACGAGGTCCAGTAGTTCTAATGACTATTTAATGAATCATAGGTGTTACGCCTAATGCTTTCTTCATCGCACAGAACACGAGCTAGGTAGGGTATGGTTGAGTTTTTGTACTTGCTGGTGCGAGCATACAGTTTTCTATATAGGCTTCTGGTTTGACCTGATGAGATGCAAGAGGAGAGTTGTGAGTGAAGAGGGTGATGTGAGCTAGATAAAATGGATTTGGCCCATTTTTCACATGAGTCCATGTGCCTGTCAACCAGAATATTAACAAGCTGGTTAAGTGGCACGTTGCTTACCCTGCTAACAACCTTTAATATTCTGCGTAATATGTTATAGTCTTTCTTCATTAGCCCGGGAAAAACTAAGGGGGAACAATAGAGAATAATAGGCAGAATACGAGAGTTAACTAATTGTAGGAGTAAGAGTTGGGTTATACCAGAATTTCTTAACTTCTTGATGTAGAAGGTAAGATGGAATAAGCTATAAAAACTGTCTGAAACATAAACAGAAATAACTGAGATGAACTGGATTTCATGTTCGATCACAAACTGATGTAAGTTGTAGAACCATTGAAAAATCAGTATTTGACAACCATTTCATCATTGTTTGGGGTTCTCTTAAGCTTCACATACTACTACTCATGACCCTGCCAAAAGGGAAAACCGATATCTTTCAGGTTATACAAGGCAATCTTGTTGACTGTCTGGCCACTAGGTTCCAATCCCATGGCCAGCACTTCAGTCGTAACTTCACTCCCCTTCCCAATCGACATCATATATATCTGTCTTCAAACTAAACAGAAATTATTGAAATGTCATTATTGGAACCATCTTTAAGCCGTTTAATTCCGCTATATCTAGCTATTAACCCTTAGAAAAATCTCTAGAATCCATGCTTATTACTTGCGTTTAACAAATCAAAAGTAAAATATCATTCTCATAGGCAATTACTGAAATATCCGTAACCTTTTACCAATTCACTATGCCATCGACATCATTTATCTCCGTTTCTATGCAAAAACAAATAGATTTAATTCACGGTGTAGGTGTGTATAAGTAATCGCCGAAACAAATTTATCACACGTTCATTCCCACTCTCCCTAATAGAGGATAGAAAACAAGCAGTCAGTTACAATTTGAATTTCCTCAGGTATAAAGAAATACTGTGATCACAATGCCAAGTATTACAAACGTGTGTTATCAATCACCACTGGAATATCTGCCATCTGTTTGTCTGTCTGTTTTCGACACAGAACTTTGCACCAATGTGCGGCTGTTCAAGTCGCCACTCTCCCTCCATGTAGCACACAAAGCAAGAGAAATGAATATTAGAGACAGTAAACAGAGGTGTGAAACAAAGGAATAGTAATAACGAAGAACAATACAGTTTCATTGGAAATCATAAATCACAAGGAGTGGATGCATCTGGGCCAGCCATTGAGAACGATTTTGAGCCATTGGTTTTTATCGTCCCGAGGACCCCAATCAGTCAGGAAGTCTACACCTCTCTACGTGGCCTAGACTAACTGTTGTAGATTTCATTGACTGATGAAGCCATGTTTTGGTTTGACCACCGTTAGCTCTTTTCCAGCCTGACCCTATATCAGCCAACATCGCCCGGCGAGGAAGGCGATGGCTTGGCAGGCATGGGTAACACATGTCCTAACCACCTCAGCCGATGTAATTTCACAGACTCGTCGATTGGTTTCCCCTCCTTACCTAGAAATATCTGTCATCCCGTTTGTCATAATGTGCGCGCGAAAACACCATACGCGGATATCTTTTAACAACACCTATAAAAAGTATGGCTTTAATCCCCTTCCTATAACGCTAAAGTGTAAAACAAACTAAATTGCACAGAGTTCACCCTGCTTATCAAACAGTCACATGTCTAAGAAGCATACGACTGACACACTGACTAGTTTCAACATAGAAATTTGTACAAATGTGCAGCAGTTCGAGTCCCCATACTTCCTCTTTGTTGTAGTACACAAAGCAAGAGAAGACAATAAACAGAAGTGTGAGTGAGGAAAAAAGATTAATAATATGGAAGAACAATAGAATTTTATCGGATATGACAAATCACAAAGAGTGAATGCATCTGCGCCAGACATTGAGAATGAGGATTTTGATCCATATCACCAATTGTCTCCAGCCACCATTGGTTCTTACCATCATCTCGAGGACCCCAACCAGTCAGGGAGTCTACACCTCCCTACATGGCTGGCTGGCTTAAACTAACAGTTGTGGATTTCATTGACTGATAAAGTTAGATTTCGGTTTGACCACCACTAGCTCTCTTCCAACCTAATCCATGCTATGTCAGCTAACATTGCCTGTTGTCGAGGAAGGCGATGGCTAGGTTAGCCATGTGTAACACGTATCTTAGCCATCTCAATCGATGTAACTTCACAACCTCATCGATTGATTTCTCCTACTTACCTAATAACTCTCAACGAATAACCTTCAATATTCCCCATCCTATTATACCACCAGACCTAAACAGGAAACATAGAATGCAGACATTCATGATGATCAACGACAAACTAGCCAGCGTTTTCATGACTTCCACTTCCAATGATCATGTCTCACTCACAGTCATAAATGAGGAGGTTGGATCGAACTGTTGAGAAGTGTACACGTCCTTTGATCGATATAATAGCCAACCACCAGATATCATCACGTCTACGCCAGAGATGATGCATATTGGCGAATGCCACACGAGTCTTTTGTATCTATATGCTGAGATTTCATCAACAATCAACCCGTTGGAGCCGATGCGACTTCTCCAATTAAGTGAAGAGGTCAACACGCTCCACACCAACTACTTCACTCCCCTCTATATCGTTAAGCTAAAAGTGAATTGATGTACTCTCCAGTCCTGTAGCATCCATCAACTTACATTTGACACAAGAGGAAGGAAAGGATGCACAAAAGCAGACTAATGCAAGCTCTGTAAAATATGAGTGAAATTGTAAGATAAATTCACTAGAGAACCCGTCGCTATGACAACAAGTATTTAAATTATTCATCAAAACGATAGTAATTCTTATCACATCGATGCGTATACACATTAAACTAAAGATATAGTGGAAAAAAAATAGTTGTAACTTTAAAAAAACAAAACATACTGCACGAATTGGAACCATGGTTTTTAATCCCCAGCCGCGTTCATCACCTGTCCAAAATGGTTGTTGAGGTGGATAAAGACGTTTTGTGAACCGTTGATTACGACATGCATCTCCATTTGGACATGCACTAGGCAGACATTCATAGTGTAATTCACGATTTATACAATTACTAGTTGGTCCACATGGATCTTCTGAATCCTTAATACAATCACAACGTAGAGCTTCACTTGAATCAGTAAGACGATAGACACGAACAGAGCCAATTGGCCAATTCACCTGTGTAATTGAAAGGCGGGGGGGGAGAAAACAGAATGTGAGTTATGGGAAAGACAAAGAAAAGAAAAGAAAGGAAAAAAACCCGGTTGCATCGAAATCTTGAACAAAGTCACCAACTAGGTTGTACATTTGAAAAATTTATAACAAAGGGATGAGAAACTTCTATCTTTCAATAACAGAACAAACATCTCGCGAACTTAAAACGCTCAGCTTCACTTGAGGAATCGTTCAAAGTCCTGAAAACACAATCTGATCAAACCTCTCAAATGGAATGAGAGATCAAGACATACTGAGTTGAAGCCAACGCCGCCAAAAAAGAAATGTAACGGCAGAAGACAAGAGAATTGGGAACAGGCTTTTATCCAAAAACAGAATAAGGAAAAAAGCATCATATTTATACATTTTTAGCCACATTAAAATTAGGCTAGATCAGCTGACAATAAACTGTCCTGATTGGTTGGAGATTGGTTCAAGGTTAAACAATGGGACGAAGAGTTGTCCATTGGAATTATTTCATGTAAGCTAAATACAGATTTGAGGAAGATAAACACTCCTACCTTTGCTGCAACTATTGCCTTAAAATGTGTTGACCTCTTCATATATATATATATATATATACAAAAGCCAATACTCGAAAATCCATCTATCTAATGCTCATTAGCGACTCGCCCTAATCAGGCAGTTAACCTGGGGTTCTAGTGGGAAGCCACGACCAGTAGGGTACAGCAGGTTGAAAGTGATGAGGTAGTAACTCATCGAAGAAGACATTGGCTAGTGGTCGCACTATATCGTGAATTGTCAAAAGTTAGAATTCATGGGCTGGCCACTGGATCGGATCCCAGTGGCTTAATGGCATGCGAGCTTGCCTTGTAACCAGGTCCTGGGTTCGAACCCTATCGGTGGGTGAGTGCGTACAGCGGAAGCAGAGTCCTAAACTGGACTGACGAAACAGCTGTCCAGTACTCCCTAGTTGGTTTCTCAATAGTTCTCTAACTGAGGTCAGCTCATGATGAAATCCTTCATCCAATATCAACAAATTGTAACTGATCCTCGTCGCACAAGTAATGCTTGCCCTTACGACACGGTGTTGATAACTCTTTAGCGTTTGAGGAATGAATGATAGGTGTACTGGATGTATAATTCAACACTCATTGAGGGATGCAGATACACCTAGTTGATGAATCTAAAAAAAGGACGAAGTACTTATTCTGGATTCTACTATTAGCCAGCCACTATCAACAGAATCAAACCTAGATTATTACTACTATTATTATTATTATTATTCTATCCTGTATCAATCAGTAGTACGCTACTATAATGCAGTTCCAATTGTCATTTATGATGGATATCAAGATGATTAGACAGTTTTGTGACTTTTCATTTTGATAATTTGACTCAAGGTATAACCAGTTCTCGCCAGCAAGAATTGATTTAGATCTATGGAGTTCAGTTTATTCGAGTACACCACTAATGAACTCGATGGTTGCGAATACAGGCAGCTCCCCTCTCCAATATTTATATCGTCTCAATTTGATTGATAAGTATACTACTGGCTGGTGTGAATGACTTCCAATTAGTCATATCACCGTTAGCTTAGTCTGAAAATGTCTATGGAGCCCCTGAATGTTTGAAATTACATTTCAATATTATGTGTTTATAAAGAGTCCAAAAGAAAAAAAGCCTTCAAAATGACTTATTTATACAACTGAGGGGGCAAAGTCAAATAATTACGATCCATGGAATGCGAAGACACACGAGTGAACTTGAGCTGATCAATCAGAAGAAAAAAAATACGTTGATTTACATGAAAACACATTAGACAGGGTATTTTCCCCCTGGCATGACTTGAAAACATCTCCCAATTACAGCGAGGAGTCTCAATTTTTATGTTGAATCAGTTTCTATATACATGTATATTCATCAAAATGACTGAAAAATGAGTCCCTTTTGTGACCCGTTGATTGCACTTATCCGATTTTTCAATCTACTCCGGAAACCATCGATTGAATGGGTATAGGTCCCAAATAAGGGAGTCGCCGAGATGGTCAGAATGCTCCATGCGATAATGGGTAAATCCTAAATCTGATAGGCCATTGCATCCACTCATTCGCCAGGAATGATTAACCTTCATATAATTGGTAGAAGAATGTCTGCACTACGACTTGGAATTACCTCCACATTTCACTTCTGAAGTTTCGTGTTGTAAATACCAAATATCCAAACGTTATTTGCCCAAGGGTGACCATGGTTATACTTTCTTATTTATGAGAACTGTTTCATTGATGTGAACAATAACACTAACTCGGCTTGACAGCTGAGTGAAAGTATTCATCTTCCAGAATGCACCTATGTCTCAGAAATGTTGGAATCACAAGAGATACTAAGGAATTTGCCATCTCTGCAACCGCTGATCTCAAACTCCAGTCCTTAATATCCAATAATGGCAGATAAGAAGTATAGTTCTGATTAGACACTAACTAATGTCATGTGTCTCGTCTTTTGTTTACTGCAGACTGAATTCTATCGTCAGTCACGTTTGCAATGTGACCACCATGTCCCAACTAGGTGGCTCGCCATCACGCTTCACTCAGGATTGTTGTCATTAGATGGTTGGAGGTGATCAGCACGAAGCCACTTCAGACCTAGTTTTCGTGCTTGTTGGCACTCCCCAGTCAGCAAGGCGTATCTGCAATCTTCAAGGAACTCATGTCCCTTCTGAGATCCAAACCCGTGTCACCCAGTGCAGTTAAAGATGTTACCACTGAGCTGTTCGGGTTCGCGATTGACCTCCTGTAGGACCTTATTAGATACTTTTGATTGCCGATTGCTTCCAACCATCTAATGTATGGGAAGTATATTGATCAGCGGTAGTTTCGACTAAGAGAAGAAAGCTTGTAGAAAACGTTGGTGAACTAAGAGTGTAACCTACCATTATGACGAACATTCATTCTCGTTTCATTCACTGTGTACTACCTAAATACATGTCCATCACCTGCTTCTGAACACCAGTGGATGTACATAAAAGCACCGCAAGTGTATACAAGGCTACCGTGCTATGACGCCATTGTCTGAACACTACTTAAAAACTTGACAGGGATGAAACTTTCTCCTGAATAGCGTTGATATTGTTGCTGTATAATAATGACAGATCCCATTCGTTATCCAACAACAACGACTAGTATAAATTTAAGATGACTGATGCGTCCACCCTTCCGGATCATGATACTACTTTATCGCTTCACTTTATTGGGAATTAATGACTGTGAACCACAAAAAATAAATTCTATGTACATACATAATGAGAAAGACAAAACTACTTTATACCATTGGTTACAGGACTCCATCATGAGCTGACATTGATTAGAGAACCATTGGAAAACCAACTAGGTAGTATTGGACAGCTGTTTCGCCAGCCTAGTTTCAGACTCTTCAGCAGTACGCACTCACCCACCGACGGGGTTCGAACCCAGGACCTTCTGGTTACAAGGCGAGCTAGCTCGTAGACCGATGAGCAACTGGGACCCAATCCAATGGTCCTTGAATTCTAACCAATGTCAGCTCATGATGAAATCCTGTAAACAATCAAACAAATCCCTACAAACCAATAGTTGAATACTTTATACCTTCTTTGAAATGACAAGAACAGGCTCTGATTTAAACGCCGACAACAACAACAGCAATAAAAACACACAAAAAAACACAATCCAACTCACTTTAATTGGTTTATAATAATCAGGACGTCGTTTTCTGCCTAATAGCTTGGAGAATTTTTCACGTCTTTTAAGCCAACCCCGAGCAGCTTGTTTGATTGCAGCATTATAAATAAATTTTCTACGTCGAATCACAGATGGTGGGGTACGTTGATTAGACAGAAGTCCTGTATTATTACAATTACTTGAATTCTCATCATTTAAATATCGATTTCTACGTGGTCTTAAATATGGATAACGTGGTAAACGATTATAAGTTGTTAACTTGTTAGCTGATGTAGTAGTATTGGATGATTCTAATGAAGTATTACCTGATTCGGGTGTTTTATTAATGTTATTATTAGTATTACTAGTAGTAGTATTAGTAGTATTGCCAGTATTATGAGTACTATCTTCAACAAGAAAATTACTGGGATTCAATTCTAACAAGGGATCTTCATCTTCACCATCATCCTGCTTTTTACGACGATTACGATTAGCCCGTTGTTTTGATGATGAAGAGACCTTTTTCTTGACAATGTCACTTTCTTCACCACGTCCAGATTCAGTAGATTCATCGTCGTCATCACTTGAGCTTAAGAGATGGAGAGAGAAAAAAGGATATAAGAAACCAATAATGCGTGTATACAACTCCTTTTCTAACGACCTAACAAAAATTTGAATTATAAACACATACTGACTGGCTTCAATATAGAACCCTGCACAGACGTGCAGCATGCTTACTAATTATAGTTAGTGAGACGACTGTAGATACTGCAAGGGTGCCTAGACCGAAGCAGGTGGTCATCTTAAGGGACCACCAACCACTCACCCACACCCACCGAGCCTTTGACATAAAGTCGCATCCACAACAATAGGATAAAGGAGCAGCAGTTAATTAGTGACGTCCCCATGGATGCCGGTGAGCAATGCAAGTTCACATGCCACCAAATAGTAACTCCTTTCATACAGTCTTACCGCTACCTCGAAACAATCATACCACTAGCATGGTACAGATCTACAGGACTACAAGTTCCGTCCAGTGTAGCTTCTTGGGTCACTGTAGTATACAAGCCCGACCACCAAGTCAAGGTATGACAGTTATCGGTTGGGAAACACATATTTTAACAGGATAAGACAAGAAACTTGGCAGCAGGATGTTTATTTGCAATTTGATTGATATACAAATATGAGAAAATTACGTATACCATATTACTAAAATTGTCATTTGCGCAGATCTTCCGTGTTGTGCTACTTATGCCCTGAGTACTGTATTTCTCTGCCTTCTCTTCGTGCCTCCCATGTTTCACCGTAAAACTGGTTCATTTGTTCTCTTTAACGTCAAAATAATCTCTGCGCTAATTGGCATTTTAGTGTCGATGAACGTTTCTGCACATACTACTGGTAAATCTTGTCAGTAGCATAAGCCACAAAAGAAGTAAATAATTTATGCATACCATATTTTTAAATTACTACTGAGTTGTTTCAAGTAGAATATACCTTTATCAGAAATCTTCAAATGTTTGGTGTGCAGGACAGGACTGTACGGACTTCGTCGTTAAGTTAAAAGAGCGAATGCGAATGTCTGCCGCTTGTAACCAGATTGATAAATCCCGACCGATAGCTGCTACCTTGACTTGGTGGTCGGGCTCGCACATCGCAGCTACACTGGCTGGGACCAATGTTCCTGCAGGTCCTACCATGCCAGGAAGGTCGTTAGGATAGCGATTAGACTAAAAGACCAGTAAGAATCTTTCTTACACTATGCTGGGGTCTGAGGGCGAAGTGGTACTGCTGGGGAACAGGGATGTAACAGCAGTGAGGTGTTTCCCTCAAATGACCAGCATGCCAGCCAGCTATGCTCTGTCTCTCCACTCTGAAGAGTAGGGGTTAGAAAAAGTCGACCCCAAAAATTGTACATCCCGACTTACCCTACGGTGGTCCGTAGCCGGTGGTAAGTTTACTAATACAGAACCAAACCAGTTCATACAGGCCGTGTGTGACCGGCCTCAAGCAGTTGTCCCTTGGGCTCTGCGGTCAAGCATCACTAATCCTCTCTCTCTGTTTCAGGTACTCGAAGAATCAATCAACTTCCACGGTGTGGTCAGCCGGGAAGTAAAAACCGCCCAATCGCGGCTAAAATGACTATCTATCAGTTTAGTAGGTGAGAGAATGACTTCAGAAAACGCAAAACAAAAACACTTGTCGTTTAGCATAAAACTTACCTAGAACTACTTCCTCTTCGTTTATCATCACCTTCTTCATATGGAAATAATCTAGCCCGTGTTGTCAATAAATAAACAGGACGTGAATGTTTCGTTGAAAGACTATTCGTCAGACCGTATAAACGAACAAATACTGAACCGAGGATATTATTAGATGTAGGCAATGTTGGATTACTTGTTGGTTGAAAATTAATTGCAAATGTTTGACTGTTGTTATTATGGCTATCATCTTTTACAGAATGTTGACTTGTTGGTAAATGTTGTGGATGAACTAATTCTCCTGGCCACCAATACATACCAGATGTAAGCGAGGCATATTCATTAGGACGAAATACTCCCGGTAAACGATGGGAATTATATGCAACAGATAATTTTAAACAACGTTGATGATATGACTGGAGACTTGGTGGTAAACGTGCCCATACAATCTCACCATAACGTAACATTCGACCATTCGTACAATCTTCACAGATAAATTTATCTGGTACCTAAATACAATGAAGAAAAAAGCATTGTTATTATTGAAGTATTGATTTGTAGGGATTTGATTGATTTGGTTACTAGACAGGATTTCATTGAGTTGGCAATGGGCTAGAGAGCTATTGGAAAACCAGTTGAGAGTAATAGGAAGCCTACTGTTTCGTCTCAGTTTCAGACTCTCCAACAATACCCACCCGCTGGGGTTCGAACCCAAGACCTCGTGGTTACAAGGTGAGCTCGTAGACGACTATTGTTTATTTAGATATATTCTATTCTATAAATAGTCCGTCGGTGGTGGTTCAGCCGAAGGATGTTCGCCAAACGCGCACATGTGGTCCGCGATTCAATCTCGGTTCAACGCACTCCTAAACCTCGCTAAGCCCACAATAGGGCCGGCAAAGAGTGAGGCTGGCAACTAGATCCAGGGAAAATAAAGAAAAACGCACTGCTACCGAAACTTCAAAACTCTAGCTTGAAGTCTTATACTCCATTCGGCTTGTAAAGGAATAAAAATTTAAAAAAATAAAAATTCCATAGATGAACTATATATAAATATATATATATATATAACCCAATCCTTACTCCTACAATTCGTTAACTCTCGCATCCTGCCTATTATTCTCTATTGTTCCCCCTTAGTTTTTCCTGGGCTACTGAAGAAAGACTATAACATATTACGCAGGATGTTAAAGGTTGTCAGCAGGGTAAACAACGTGCCACTTAACCAGTTTGTTAATATTCTGGTCGACAGGCACATGGACTCATGTGAAAAATGGGCCAAATCCATTTTATCTAGCTCACATCACCCTCTTCACTCACAACTCTCCTCTTGCATCTCATCAGGTCAAACCAGAAGCCTATATAGAAAACTGTATGCTCGCACCAGCAAGTACAAAAACTCAACCATACCCTACCTAGCTCGTGTTCTGTGCGATGAAGAAAGCATTAGGCGTAACACCTATGATTCATTAAATAGTCATTAGAACTACTGGACCTCGTCTTTCCAGCTCATATCATTAATAAGTACACCATTTTCTTTCTTTGTTTTCCTTTTTTCTCTCTCTCTCTTTTTTCCGTTATGTGCTGCTTTGTTTCTTTCTCTTGCTTACGCCAGTAAATATGACAGCTCCCACTTTTCTAACACCTTCAAACACTGTTTCTGCTTTACCTTTGCTACCGACATGCAATATGTTGTTGTCATAATGAACTGAGATTTCCTTAATATATGTAGAATTCTATTTATTGATAATGTACTAATTGGATGCAATACTGTAGTAAAAATGCTGAGAATTCCATTCTGTATCATATGTACTGTCTTGGAATAAAGCAAATTATATATATATATATATATATATATATATATATATATATATATATATATATATATTGATACATACTAAATCGACTGTAAATCGAAGTCTATTCAAGTATACTCAATAATTCCAATCGACCTTCTATGGAAGAATACTGATGAAAGAAAAACATACATGATCAACTTTTCAAAGTATCAATACATATTTTGTGATTAATATCCTTAGTTAGCTGACAGTACATCTGTAGCCTTTCCAGGAAGTAATGGTATTTCCACTGAGACTCGAATCCATCATACAACGTCAACAAATAACAGTTGATACCTGTTGCACAGGTGCGGTCGGTCGGTCGACATAGAACTTTGCACCAATGTGCGGCAGGTCAAGTCGCCACACTCCCTCCATGTAGCACACAAAGCAAGAGAAGAAATGCATAATAGAGACAGTAAACAGAGGTGTGAGAAAAAGGAATAGTAATAACGAAGAGTAAAACAAGGAGTGGATGCATCTGCGCCACTGAGAACGATTTTGAGCCATGTCACCAATTGTTTCCAACCATTGGTTTTTACCGTCCCGAGGACCCCAACCAGTCAGGAAGTCTACACCTCCCTACGTGGCCGGCTGGCTCAAACTAACTGTTGTGGATTTTATTGACTATTGAAGCCATGTTTTGGTTTGACCACCGCTAGCTCTTTTCCAGCCTGGCCCTATATATCAGCTAACATTGCCTGTCGAGGAAGGCGATGACTAGGCATACGCAATACATGTCCTAACCATCTCAGCTGATGTAGTTTCACAGGTGCATGACTCTTGTGGTCTAGTGGATTGAAACTACTGATGAAGAGTCCCAAACTAGGACAAAACAGCTGTCCAGTACTCCCAGCTGGTTTTCCAATGGTTCCCTAACTAATGTCAGCTTATGATGAAATCCTGCAATTTTTTTTAATTCAGATAGTAAGTACTAGTCTTCTTTCACTGTTTAACCTGCAAGTATCTTTCGACCATAATGAGCACCTGACCAGACAGCTTTAAAATGCTCACTGATACACAATTTATGTGTTGAATATTAAAAAAACAGGATGTTTAAGAAATAAACTGCTTTTGTTGACAACCCTAAAGAACAGCCACCAAAGTTAAATAACATTGAACCAATCAATCGTATCGCTCAGCATTACAAATTGATGCTTTTCATAATCTCCGCTGTAAGTTTCATCCTGATTCAGGGTTGGGGTTAGGGTTACGATTAGAGTCGGTTTATCACACTAAGGTTAGGGTGAAAATTGTAACGAAGATTATGAAGAGCATGAATTTCTAGTGCTGAGCGATTACAAATTGATGCTCTTTGATCATAGGTACCTGCGTTCTATCTCCCGTGTGAAGTGGTATAGTAGGGTAGGCAATGCTGAGGTTTGGCGTCGAGTGCTAGGTAAGGAGGGGAAATCAATCGACAAGGCTATGAAGCCACATTGACTTAGATGGTGAGGACATGTGTTACGTATGCTTAGCCATCGTCTTTCTCGACAGTAGGCAACGTTAGCTGACACAGGATGAATCAGGGTGGAAAAGAGAGCGGTGGTCAAACCAAAACATGGCTTCACTAGTCAATGAAATCCATAACAGTTAGTTTAAGTCAGCAAGCCAGCCACGTAGGGAGGTGTAGACTTCCTGACTGGTTGGGGTTCTGAGGACTGTAAAAACCAATGAAGGCTGGAGACAATTAGTGATTTGACTTAAAATCCTCAATATGAATAATGCACCCAATCCTTGTGACTTATAATATCCTTTAAAACCACATGGTTCTCCAATATTACTATTCTTTTTGCCTCATATCTCTGTTTTGCATTTCTTTTCTTACTTTCTTCTCTTGCTTTGTGTGCTACATGGAGTGTGGCAACTTGAACTGCTCCATATCGGTGCAAAGTTCTGTGCTGAAAACAGACAGAGGCAGACAGACAATGCTGAGGGATCTGATGGATTGGTTCAAGGTCATTTGACTTTGGCATCTATTCTTCACTGTTGTCATCTTGTGTGTTTTTAGGTAGACCGTAATTTTGTTAAATGAACAGCCCGAGTTCAACTTACTTACAGAACATATATTTTATAATAGGATACCCAAAAGTTCTATAATGACAATTCCACGTTTCAGACGACCTATAACGGAAAAACCAGAGAAAGACAAGGCTGCCTGCCTATTATCACAGATGATATTCCTAATTGTGGTGGACTGGACTATGCGGAACATAGTGCGTGAGGAGCGAGAAGACAGGAATACACTGGGACTGGTAATAAGACTCGAGAAGATCTGGATATCAATGGTGGTTTATGTCTAATGTCAAACAAACTTGAAGACCTACAGGTGGAAACCAACAAGTTACCAGAGGAGACTACCAGCGAAGACAGGACTATAAGTGAACATAAAGAACACGGAAGTAATGAAGACAACCAACCAACAACAAAAACATGCAGGAATCACTATTAACGAGAAAAAAATTGAAAGAGGTTACTTCCCTCACTTATCTATGAAGCATCTCCTCAAATACCTTCAGCACTAATGAGAATGCCACAACCTGAATCGGAAAAGCATGTCAGACCTTCAACACCCAGCATAAAGGAGGAATTCGGATTTCCAACACAAATGTTAAGTCAGGAGTTCTATATAGTTTAGAAACCTGGTGCCAGTGTCAATAAAAGCAATTTCGACAGCCAATAGCAGACTTTCATCAATAGCTGCCTTCACTAGCTCCATATTGAAGATCAAATGACCAGAAAGAACTAACAACAAGTAACTCGGGGAACAGTTCGAACAAGAACCTGCTGATCAATGAATAGTGTGAAGAAAATGGAGATGGATCAAACACGTTGAGGAAACCGTCGAATGACATCGCACGCTAGGAACTCGATTGACTGGAACACGAATGGGTAACGACGATTTCGACCTGTGTCTAAGAGTGAAATGCAGGATATTGTGTGAGAAGGAGAAGATAAGATACCCTGAGCAATCGTAGGGCCAGCTAAAAGATGATCGTGGAGAATACGACAAAGTACAGATGTTCCCTGGAAAACCAAGTGAACAATACTATAATAATATCATACAAAAATTACCTTTTAAATAAATTTGAACACAAAAAGAACAAACATTGGATCCATTTTATATCGTTGTCTTTCATCAGCTGTGTACAACCTACAATCTTCAATAAATAAAAGTCAGCGTAAAATTTTAACATACTTTTGTCTATCAACAAGCATATGATAAGAATGTCATAGTGAGATTAAACATCAGGATGATAAGGTGACTGAGGTATTACAATGTAAATATGTGCACACATATCTTGTTAGAGAGAAGTTTCTCAAAAATTAATTGGCAAGCTTGTTTTTAGGGTGGTAGCAAAATATTTAGTAACAGTTATGTAGACATTTGTAAAAAAAATTATATTTGTAAAATCTCAGCTATATTGAAATAAGTAATTCCAACGTTTCGTTCGGCAATCTGGTCCGAACTTCTTCAGGGAAATTAATCGAAATTAACATAACAGAGGTTTATACATAAAAGGAACATCTCTTGTTTTTGAAACTTTGTCCAATCATGAGTCATAAAACAAGTATCAACAAATATAATAAACAAAATTTTATGGGCTATGATCAAAATGTGACCTCGGACTTACAAATATTGGTCTACCTTTGTTTAACACTTTAAACAGAGTGTGCATGCGTGTGTGTGTAAACAGTCGTAAAACATTTCTTAACGTCTCCATAGGAAGATATAGACAGTCAGGAATTTGACCAAGTATTATTAATTAGTGATACATGTCCATTCTTATTTATTAATCAGGATTTCCTATGCATCAGCTAACATCAAACCTTCATGTCCGTTCAAACGCATGCACACTCTGTTTAAAGTATTTAACAAAGGTAGACCAATATTTGTAAGTCCGAGGTCAAATCTTGATCACAGCTCATACAATTTTGTTTATTATACTTGTTAATACCTGTGTTTATGAATCATGATTGGACAAAGTTTTTAAAAAGATGTGCCTTTTACATATAAAACCTCTGTTATGTTAATTTTGATTAATTTCCCTGAAAAAGTTCGGACCAGATTGCCGAACGAAACGTTGGAATTACTTATTTCAATATAGCTGTGATTTTACAAATATAATTTTTTTTTACAAATGTCTACTTCTCACTCGGCGCCCAAATATTTTAGAACTATTCGGTCAAATCTTGACGACAGTTCATTTGAACAGTTATGTAGTTTGATAAAAGAAGATCGAAATTTGGTGTGCAAGAGGTCAAATGAAAAGAAGATGACGTAATATGGTGAGTAAAACTCATAAGGTAAAGAATAATTACTTCTTATGGAAGTCAAACAGAAAAAAAAGGGGGGGTTGAAAGGACAAAATAGTGGAATTAGAAAACAAAGAGTTATTACAGAATGATTCACCAGGGTAATTGGAGTCCAACAACAGATTCCTTTTGCACACATACGTCAGGTTTCAGCCGTTTTATTAAGATAGCCTCAGTCAATTAATTTTCTAGAAACTTCTCTCCAACAATATATATACATACATATACGCTTACACCAGTTACCTTGTCATTCTGATGTTTTATCTCACCATGACACTCTTATAATATGCTTGTTGATAGAGAAAAGTATGTTGAAATTTAACACTGACTTTTATTTATTAAAGAGTATAAGGTTGCATGCAGCTGATGAGGATCGACGAGATAAAGTGGATCCATGTTATTCTGCTACACCAATATTTGTTCTGTCTCTGCTCAAATAATACCCAAAAGGTTAGGAAAGAACACAGAATCTTCATGTAAACAATTCTGTGGAGCATTAAATCATCACTGTCATACTTAGTCTATCACTGTATAAACTGACTGTCATTGAGTAGATGCATACTCTAACCTGCGTCGCCTACACACACACACACACACACACCATCTTCGGAATATTCCCTTCAGCTTTTTCAGTGGAATACGGGGAAATTTCAAAGCAGATTTCATCGATAACCAAAGTGTGCTAGACAATTATTAAAAACCAAGGAGCACTAACTAGACAACTGTTCAGTCGGTCGTACTTTGGGACCTTGAAGGGATCGATCTCAAGCCCTTTAGAATTCACAGGCCGGCCATTAACCACCCACAACCGCTAGCTTGAAAATATCATACTAATATTATATCTCCTAACTTGAATGACTGAGTTGTACAGTCTTTATTGTCATTCTGAGTGACATCATTATCGCAAACATTGGAAAGAAGGCCGTTTATGTTATGTACTATTGATTTATTGACATATGTAGTTGAATACCACTCACACTGCGTAGTGTAGTGCTTGGGGTAATCAGATTTTTTCGCTTCTTTGGTTTCGGGTTCATATCAACGGTGTATCTGGTATGACTCGGTTCTGACAGCCGGATTGAACTATCTGCAATTAATAGGGTTCTCTGAGCTGGTCGGTTTAATTGCGGAGCTTTCGTCGTCCTTCTGGACAACATCCCCCTTCAGCGCAATATTTAGCATAAAGTGGAATGATTTAAATTTCTTCATGAGTGATATAATTGCGTCTCCCGGTAACCATCTTTACATATGTATTGACCACTTTCTATTGACTTGGATTTTAAACTTTCTGGTCACCTGATTTACTTTTTATTAGTTGGTAGATTTCGTCTGTATTAATTGTTTGTAAATAGCATTTTCGTTTGAGTATCAGGCTTCTAGGAATTCCCTGGAACATTTGGTGTTTGAACTATGTAACTTGTAAGTGGCAAATTTGATCCGAAGTTGGGTTGCGTCTAGAATCCAACGCTACTTATTTGACTTGAAATCATTATAAATTGTAGAGGTGAAGTAGAGGTACGCCTGGGCATTACTCAAACAGATAATTGTTTCAATTTTTTAGAGAATTCCAATAGCTCACTTCTCTTCTAAATTCAAGATGACTATCTTGTACAGAAGGACAATGTAGAATTTACGAGAGAAATTAACTAGACCAGAGAAAATAACAACCTTTAAGACGATCTCTCCATGTACAAAGATCTTCTGCGTCTTTCACCACACACACTCACACACACATTTTTTAATCCCTTACGTTCACAGTGGAACATAGATTGGCTTTAAGCTATAGGCTTGAAGTTTCGGTAAGAGTGGTGTTTATTTTCATGGGATGGGGTTACTAGCCTCATGACAAGCCCGACCTTCCCTCTTCACCAGTCTCATTACTGGCCTAACGAGGTAAAGCAGTGCGTCGGTGGCCGCGGATCGAATCCCGGACCACATGAGGCGTAGTTGGCGAGCATTCTATCGCTGTGCCACCAACGCCTTACACACACACACGCACGCAAACACAATAAATGACAAAATCAACACTTACCTCATCAATTTTAAGACATTCTTCATGAAACGATGCTGGACAACTTTCACAGCATATAATACGTCCACCCTTAGAACAGATAAAGCACCAAGAGACATTAGTTGGCTTAAACATTTTCAACAGTGCAGCTGGCGGTAATTCCAGTTGTATATTAGGCGGTGCACAGTAGAGTTTACATTCATTTTCTAAAGAATGACGTGGACAGATAATTAAGTTAGGCGCCACCTGAAAAGCAGATAAAACATTAATTATATATACAAAGACAGAATGATACAGCGAGGCTGATAATTTGTAAATATATACATGCCATACACATCAGTCGCATATCATCCAATGCATTTAACAAGGAAACGGTACCTGCTGACTGGAAAGAAATCAAGGTTGTACCTGTACAGAAATCATCTTCTGGAGCAGGTATAAAGTTTAGACCGGTCGCTATAACATCTCCTTTTTTGAAAACTATGGAGAAACTTCTTTTGAATATTCTTAAACCTTCTTTAAAAGCTTTTAGTGACCCTAAGCAGTTTGCTTATGTGTGGAAGAAGTACATTAGATGCAGCCATTGTACTACACCACAATATTGCTTCCTACCTTGATAAGGGTGCCAAGTTCGTTCGAACAGCCTTTTTAGACTATACTGCAGCTTTCGACTCTGTTCTATGGACACTTTTATTAGGAAAGATGATTTCAGCACAAACAGAGACCTGGGCAACTACATGGCTGTCTTCTTATTTTAAGGATAGGAAGCAGCATACTGTTTTGGATGGAAAGCGCTCCACTTCTCAGCTAACTGAAAGTGGTGTGCCTCAAGGTGCAGTACTTTCCCCATTTCTTTTCTCTTTCTTTTTGCATGACTGTTATAACCGTAATGAATTGAGATAAACCGCGTCGCCAATTTGTTGTAACTGTAGCGGGAATTAAAATGAGGAACGTTGTCGCCTTGTTCTGTCTGCGCCTGACTAATATGCCTATCTGCTCCTGGTACCTTCCGATTCAGCGAACCACGCAAATATCAAAAGACAAAGTCTGGTCTCTGACTTTATATTGTAGTACAACAACTACGACTACGACGACAAATAACTTATTTAGGAAATGGTATTTATACAATTTTACAACCAATAGAGACAGCTAACAGTATTTGAAATAATTGGTCGTAATAGTCAATAACAAAATGCGTGGGAATGATGATATACCACTTATGCGAGATTAACAGTCATTAAGATAACTGAACAATAACAAAGTGCCTGGGAAATGATAATAAAACACATATGCGAGATTAACAGTCGTTAAGATAATTGAACAATAACAATATGCGTGAGAAATGATAATATACAACTTATACGAGATTAACAGTCGTTAAGATAATTGAACAATAACAAAGTGTGTGAGAATTGATGATATACAGCTTATACGAGATTAACAGTCATTAAGATAATTGAACAATAACAATATGCGTGAGAAATGATAATATACAACTTATACGAGATTAACAGTCGTTAAGATAATTGAACAATAACAAAGTGTGTGAGAATTGATGATATACAGCTTATACGAGATTAACAGTCGTTAAGATAATTGAACAATAACAAGGTGTGTGGGATCCTATCAATGACCTTCCGAATTCACCCAAAGTTAACTTCATTAAGTATGCTGATGATCTGACTGTTTCTGTCCCTGTAGTTTCCACATCGGATTGTTCCCATATGAATGGCTTCTTAGCTGAAGTTAAGGATTGGTCTGGCTCAAATGGTCTTAAACTAAATCCAACTAAATGTAATACTGTTGATTTCAGCTTGAGAAGTGAAAAAGACATGCATGGATTGATCCAATCTCATGATTGTTGTAATATTGATGGTACCATGACAGAGAGCAAGTCAAGTGTTTCTTATATTGGCATTAGTTTCTCTTCAAACCTTTGCTGGTCGTCTCATATTCTTATAGTTTCTAAGAAAGTTTTCCGTCTGACTTATTACATAAAGAAGTTGACGCACTCAGGTATAACCCAATCTCTTCTCATACAATTTATTAATTCATGTGTTTTGCCCATCATTCTTTATTGTTCTCCATTATTCTTCCCTGGGCTACTCAAGAAAGACTATATAATACTACGAAGAACATTGAAGGCTGTAAGTAGGGTCAGTGCTATCCCTTTGACTCAACTAACCGACACTGTTGTCAAAAACATTTATGCTCGTGCTACAAAATATAAAAATTCGACCGTACCATATTTGGCACGAGTATTGTGTGAAGAGACAAATATCAGAAAAGAACTTTTACAACTTTTAAATCATTAACTAAACTATAAAATGTAATGATGCATATTATTGCATGTGTGATTTGTTATATTATTTATTTATTATTCACTATGACCTAGCAATGGTGTGATTTTGTTGGGGTTTTTATTTTTTCCTATTAACTACCAATATTTTAACATTTTATACACTTATATAATTATAAACAGAGCTAAACCATTGCAATATGTAAAAGAAACGCTGAAAATTCCATGCTGTAAATTGTTATTGTTGCGGAATAAAGTGATTATTATTATTATTATTATTATTCATACAGAAACAAACATACAAAACACACAAAACAGCTACTCAGCATTCCTTTACATGTGACAATAGACAAATTGTATGTTTTTTGACGTCTGGCTGTCTGAGGACTATAAAAATCAATCACATTTTTGTGTGTTTGACATTATTACTAAAGAAAAAACCTCCGCAAATAAACCATCCAGCTGAGAGAACTCAACTACAACAAAATACATTCATATGCTTGCTGTCTGAATCTCGATTATCCCAATAATATAAGATTACTAACTGCAATCCGTGAGTATTTCTTCTTTGATTCTGAACATAAGTTCAAGTTAGTACTAGTTGAGGAAAAATAACTTCTTAATTCAATTATAAAAAATAGTACATCTCAAGAAATCAAAATCAGAAGAAATGAACACCGTAGAGCCACATCTACTCGACCACCGAGAAGTAAATCCAGTTGAACTAGAAAAGCTTCAAAAATCATCAGCCAGCCATAGGTGGTGGTCTACACGCTATAGAATCAGGTCACGAAATAATTGATTTTGACAATATTGAAATCATCATCCAGAAAAAGCATTTCACATATCACAAAGAACGAACGTCTAAATATCAGAAGAAGTACTTCCTTCCTATCAAGTGGAATCCAAATTGTCTGAGCTGAATAGGAATGATGGACTAAAACAGAATTTGACCTGGTCACAACACCCCCACCCTCCCCCATGAAGTGACAAAATCAACACGAATGTCATAAGCAATTTCATCATGTAAACACACGCTGTTTTTCCAAGAATCTACACCTAGTTTTGTTATCTTTAACAATTGACCAACTTGACAACAACGCAAAAATGCCCCCATTGCTTAGGAACGATGACTAAGTTGTTATATATAAGTAAGCTGAGTGGATTTTGTGAATTCTAGTTTAATATTACTACTTTGATAAAGCTATTAGCAGCAGCATTAAATAGCGAAACATTAGTAAACACAACAATATCGTTTTATTTTTCATTCATTTACTGGGAAATACAAGAAAACCTTTATTATGATAGCATAATAACTTTAATGTTACTGTAGAATTTGGGCATTGCGATCATTACCGTGATCCCACCAGGGATCGAGGTTGTATACCATTCAACCAGTGGGACAAAATCCAATGGCTTATTACAATCCTAACACATCTACCAATTCACTAGAATATCACACGACTACTAGCCAATATCATCGTTGAGTGCCTCTGTCCTCATATCGGACTCGATAAAGATAAACCTCGCGGGGAACTCAGGCAACTCTTCACCCTGTAGTCAGTCAGTCAGTCACTAAGTCAGCTGAAGTCAATCCATCATTGAACTTGAAATCAATCAAATTCCTGCAAACCAACACTTGAAAGACAAAAACGTGTCATCCGTGTAGTAGAGATAAGATGCAAATCAAATGATTCCATTATTGCATACACGGTTGCAGGATCCATACAGTCACGCCTAATACACACACTGAATTCATCTCCCTCCATAGCAGGAATTAGGGTGGCATTGCCTGTCTGTCTGTCTGTATTCGACACAGAAATTTGCACGAATGTGCGGCAGTTCAAGTCGCCACACTCCATGTAGCACACAAAGCAAGAGAAGAAATGCATAATATAGACAGTAAACAGAGGTGAGAGACAATGGAATAGTAATAACGAAGAATAAAACAGTTTCACTGGATATCATAAGTCACAAGGAGTGGATGCATCTGCGCCAGCCATTGAGAACGAGGATTTTGAGCCATATCACCAATTGTTTCCAACCATTGGTTTTTACTGTCCCGAGGACCCCAACCAGGAAGTCTACATCTTCCTACGTGGCTTAGACTAACTGTTGTGGATTTCATTGACTGGTGCCATGTTTTCGTTTGACCACCGCTAGCTCTTTTCCAGCCTGACCCTATATCAGCTAGCACTGCCCGTCGAGGAAGGCGATGACTAGGCATACGTAACACATTCAAACCTACAAGCTCACCCAGATACAAGCTCTGTAGGCCGAAGGACCCCGTCAGCTGACCCAATTAAACAAAATAATATAATTTACAAAATACCTTGCAATGACTGTGAGTGACCAAGGTCAACTATATAGGTCAAACTAGTAGATCGGGGATAATGAGATCGTCGGAACATATGAATTTAGCTAAGGTAAGAATGGTTGACCCCGAGAAGATAAGTGATTTAGAAAAAAACTCAGCAATTGCACTTCATGCATTAACACACAACCACACAATAAGGTGGGAGAGGGTTAAGATTCTAAGAAGTAATCCATGTAGGTGGATAGAGAGATTGATTACTGAATGCAGCCTGGTTCATTGAGTCTACACCCAAAACATGCAACAGAAATGACTCAATGCAAATACCAGAAATATGGAAGATATTATTACCACCAGTCAGTCAAATCAGAAGAGGATAATAAATAATCTCAAAATTCTATTTCAATTCAAGCACATGACAACATCCTAACAAGTTACTTATTATGACTAAAAAAACACTCGTCTTATTTCCCATCTGACTGTAATTGATCAATAACACTCATATTATTATTTGTGAATGTAAATTATCCCATATTGATTTTTATTCAAATATCTAGTGAATTCCACACATGTATATAAATGAAAGAAGAAAAGTTGTGTGAGTGAGTGCCTTGATATGATTATGAAAGGCAATAGCTTGTGCTCGAAACGTGGTCATCAGTTAATATTACTGTACAACACTGTGTGATTAACCCAAAATAAAATCATATCCATAACGGGGAGTTATACTGTACCAGCACAGTGCCCAAGTGTTTTATACTTATATCATGAATTAGGAAGTAGATAAACCCAAAATGACTTGAATAATGTAAAAAAAACTTAAAACAAATGCGACAATAATGACAAAATCACCTACTTCTTTACTACCAGCCGGTAGACACCATTCGCCTGGATGATAAGCGGCGGGACACATAACACAACGAATAAAATGTGCAGATGGACGAGGCATTGTCCCAGGTGTTTCAGCTGTACACGCTAAACATGTATGCGCAGGACACGAGAAAGCACCGGCACGTCGTTCACGAACAACAATTGCAAAAGGAGGCTTACGCAGACAGCTAGGATGAAACCATCGTCGACACGAACGAACTGAACAGCGTATCAATTGATGATCAGATTTATTCGATTCTAATACTGGCTGGATGTCTTTCTGATGTTGATGATGGTGATGATGATAAGCAGTTTCAGTATTAGTAGGAGTAGCAGCAGTTGTAGTATCCTCTTCCATTTTCATTGTTATTTCAGAGATGCCTTTATCGACGACTACAGGTGGTTCAGAATTGCCATAGAACATAGGCGTTTCATAGCCATTAGGGGTTTGAAGGTTAGTCAAACTGGGGTCAGGATGAGTTAGCTACAACAATGAAATCAAATTTTCTTTTAAAGGTACAGAAAATCATAACAGTTAGTGCATTAATAAACCAAGAATAAACAACACAAGAAACGAAAACCAGGATATTGTTAAAGAATTATATATTCAATCTTATCCCACTTATCAGATGTTAACATATACACACACACACACACTAAAGCGCTTTTCAAAAATACATTTACTCCATAGTCTTCTAGTGCACTAGGATTTCAAAGGCTGAATTGAGAAGTGCAGTTCTATTGCCATTTTTGGAATATCAACATATCATACATTGTAGAACACTAAACAGTTATCATCCTCAATCTGAGCTGTAAATCTTTACCACTGATCCAAACGGTCTGATTAAGGCTGACACCAACATGGATTTGTTTTGTGCCTTAATGTGTTTCACATAACCTCGAACTCAACTCAATTACTCAGAACAGTTCTTTCATATGTAACACGCCAAGAGACATACCTTCGTGCGAGAACTAATAATACTACTTTAGCTGCATAGCCTAAAGCAGACGGAGTTGAACTGGAACCCGTGACCTTTCAGCCGAGTAATTAAGCCAATTTAGCCACATCTCCAAGGATTTTTGAAACTCTATCACAGACTAACTGACTGATGAGTGAGTGGTTTCAACACAGAAATTTGCACCGATGTACAGCACTTCCAGCCGCCACACTACCTCCATCTGGTAGCATACAAAGCAAGAGAAGACAATAAACAGAAATGTGAGTGAAGGAAAAAGAATAGTAATGTGGAGAAACAACAGAGTTTTATCGCATATGATAAATCACAAAGAGTGAATGCATCTGCGCCAGTCACTGAGAACGAGGATTTTGAGCCATATCATCAACTGTTTCCAGCCGCCATTGGTTCTTACTATCATCTCGAGGACCCCAACCAGTCAGGAAGTCTACACCTTACGTGACTTTAACTAGGTGTTATGATTTCATTAACTGATGAAGGCAATCGAATAATAATACGTCAGCTAATATTGCCCGTCGAGGAAGGCGATGGCTATGGATGCATGCGTAACACATGTCCTAACCATCTCAATCGATGTAACTTCACAATCTCATCGATTGTTTTGAAACTCTGAGAAGAAAACTAGGGGTGAGAGACTAAATTCTTTTGCGAAAGTTTTACTACAACACCTTATTATTATACTTAAAATGGAGAGAAGACCATTTTCGCATTTATTATCCCAAGGCTTCCGTATAACAGGCGTTCCAGCTAGGCGAACTGGTTATATGATTGCAGAACGCAAGTCAAGCTATCAGTCGAATGTGTGAGCGATGAGACTAATCGTACCCAGTCTACAAGAGAAAATCTCTCAAACTCGGCGAGTGTCTAACGTGTAAAGGTTTGTCAATCTACTAATGATGAGCTACGAATACACCTGAGTACTGAAACACATCACATCTAGCATATTCAAGTGTTGGTTTTCAGAATCTCATTCTGAGCTGAAATTGGTTAGATAACCATTGGAAAACCAGTAGAGGGTACTGAACAGCCAGATGTTTCGGCCTAGTTTGGGACTCTTCAAGAGTACACACCCACCGGGGTAAATTGACAGAAGTAGGGATTCATGGACCACTGGATTGCGTCCCAATGGTTGAATGGTCCACAAACTTACCTTGTGGACGGCAGGTCCTGGGTTCAAACTCCTATTGGTGGGTGCGAACTGTCGAAGAGTCAATAAATGGGACGAAACAGCAGGCTGCCCAATATTCCCTTGTTTGCCAATGGTCCTCTAATCAAAGTCAGTTTATGATGAAATCCTGTGACATCCAGAATACTTCTGAGAATCCAAAATATTGGCTTTCACAAAAAAAGTGAAAGGTGTATAAAAAGGAATATATATGAACAAAAACAAAGTAAAAAGGGGAAATAGAAACTCACATAACAAATGAAGCATTGTCTTAGCCCAGCTAAGCACAAACTACACACTGGATTAGGTTGTACTGAGGATTCAGTATACCCTGCATTTATCATTGGTGTGTCTTTCCCACCACCACCACCCCCATCATCTGTACCATTATTTTCACAAATTTTATGCTTTATCATTCTATAAAATATATGCGGAGCACAATATAAGTGTAGATAATTCCCACAGCCACCAGCACATGGCATAACTACTGTATTCTCCACCCTGTCAGATTGTGTTGATTGACCACAGGTTTTCTGTGAATCGAAACCAGTGTTCATATCTGGTGTGAGTGGTGCCAGGCCAACAGTATTCCGTGGAGTTGATTGACTACTACTGTTCGTGGTAGTAGTAGCAGTAGTAGTAGTAGTAGTAGTAGTAGTAGTAGTAGTAGTGTTATTATTACCAGCACTCCATGCTGGATTGCATTCACCACAAACACAACATAAAAAGTAATGCTTCGGTGTTGTATAACCAAAGCGTAGTTTTTCAAATTCAAAAGAATTCGCCAAATCTATCCAACGGAGGCCAGTTTTTCTATCATTCTATAAGTATAAATAAGCAGAGAAAATTATCAGTATTAAAATAAAACCACTTTAAATAGTATACAACAGCTATATACTACTGATTGATTGAGATGAGTAGTATCATTACATCAATCAGTAGTAGTGTTTGCTACCCAGACCCAGTCAGTCAGTTCGATTATCGAAGTGATGTAATTACTGCTGGACGGTCGTTTCGTTCATATATATGGATTTCATTTACTTCACCGCAATCTTTTTCGTTACCTCTTCCAACACGCTTTCATTTCTTCCACACACACACACACATGTCACCTTCGGATGAATACCCGACATCGTTGCTAACCATTCAGATTCCAATCGTGGGCCTAGCGCGCAACATTATTCAATGATTTCCTCACTGCATTTTTGACCCATCTTGATTCCCTTTTGCATATTTCTTGGGTGATTCATTGCCAGAGTTAATTGTCACCGCTTATCCTTTTTTTGGCCGGTGGCATCCAATTTTTTGGTACTACGGCCAGTGAAGACCGCAGTTGGAAATGGACTTGATGAAAAGTACACCAAATCTGTAAATCGTGTATAGAAGCAATGACTTGACATTAATCAATGTTTAAAATCTGAATGTTGCTGCTTATGTCGAGTGTAGTCGATTTCCACAGTGGATTTCAGAATAATGTAGGTCTGTCTGTTTTGCTTTTCGCATTCTACATTTGACATTCTCAACTATGTTGCTTGCTTTTGTTGTTGTTGCTGCTGTTGGTTAGGTATTTTCCTCATCTTTATCTTCTCTAGACCCTCTTGATTATTATCACTGTCACGGGTTCCGAATGGAGTAAAGGGTTTCACAGGCACATTTCCACTTTGTTTTGTTTTCTGTGATCCTCTGTAGCTGGCCTCACGACTGCCCATAATCTCTCATCTCCTCCATGTTAGCCTCAGATATACACCCAACTCGTCTTTTTCAATTCGGGTTCTACTCAAGCAAGGGTCAGACTGGAGCTCAGCGCGTGCCCAATCCATCTCCATTTTCTATGGGATATTTGTTGAGCAATAGTTTCCTAGTTGACTTGTCCCTATTGTTCTTTATTGCTAATTCTTTCTGGCCATAAGATCTCCAATATGGAGCCAGCGAAGGGGATAGCTGTTGGTTGATAAAAGTCCGCAACTGGCTGTTGAAAATGCTTTCCGTGACATGGGGGTCAAGTTTCTGACCAATATACAAGAACTGACTGACTTGACACACCGGTGTGTTGGAAATCCGAATTATGTTCACTATATTGAATGAAGAAGATCTCCAAACTTAATTTAGAGTGATGAAGGCCTGTCTTAACTTACCGATTCTGGCTGTTTTTGACATCTTCATCGATGGTTCATTTGAAGTCCTGAAAATAATGTGCATATGGATAAAAACAGAAGATGAAACTGTAGAGAAATTTACTTTTAAAAGAATGAAAACCAGAAAAATATTTATTTTTATTATCAGCTAACCTTGGAATCATCATTTGAAGGTTTTAATGGTTTTCGAGGTCCAAATGAACTGCCTGAAGTAGTCGACGAAGAGACATGAGAACCTGGACCGTGTTTCCCTTTAGAATCAGCATCACTGTCAGAAGCAGGCGATGTGTCTGAATCTTCTGATGAAGAACTACTATCTTTCGAGTGGGTACGCTTACGTGATTTACCTGATTATTAATTGGAAATGAAAAATAAAATATTTAAGATGTGTGCATTAATAAACGAAATTTTAAAACCATAAAATTTACAAGAGGTCCTGATCAATGGTGTCCACTCGGTTAGGTGTGAGGATAAGTACTCGACAACGATGACATTTGGTTGGGGTCAATAGCGCTAAAATCACGAATTCGTAGAAATTAGAACTCATGGGCCATTGAATCGGGTCGCAGTGGCTGAATGGTCTGCGAGCTCGCCTTGTAGTCAGAGGGACCTGAGTTACAACCCCGGTGGGTGCGCACCATTGAAGAGTCTCGAACTGGGAAATAACAGCTGCCCAGCACTCTGTGGTTTTCTCTGACTGATGCCAATCCATGATCAGAATTTTGACACAAATCAAATTCCTACAGACAAACTATTGAAAATTCATAAAATAACCTTGCAACTGAAGCGTGTATGTCTATATACATGCTCATTCATAGAATATGAATTATCCCATGATAAGTCATTAAAAATACCACACACTCAAAACGAAAAACACTAACGTTAACTTCAAATATCTCAAGAGTTTCGAATTATGTAACAACAAAGACATTTTAATGTACCCTCAGCAACAACAACAACAACCAGAATTTCCAGGCGTTTGGCAACCTGTCATACATATTTTGTGTCCGTGTGTGGGGGGGGAGGGGAGCAGTTAGTAATATTACCTGACTGACGAAACGCTGTTAGGTAGAGCGGGCCTCAGAGCTGAGACTCAATGGCTAGAATTCAAGCACTTAAACTAAGGAGTCACAGTCCCAATAACAACATCTTTACATAGAATAAAAAAAGATAACTAGCAAAACCATTGAATTAAATGTTACTCGTTCATCAGATCACTATCAATCACTTCTAGATAACGAGTGAAATGTTCAGGACATGAAAACTTAACAAGTATCAAGAGAAAGACTAACCTCACCTAGTTTACTAGCCTAGGTAGTCTTAAGCTCAGAAAAGAGAGAGATGATTCAGTGTGGGGTCGACAACCACATATCGTTAGTGAATCATCAAATATAAACTTGCTCTCCAACAGGATCGAGAAGACTCTTCAATTCAAGAACGGATGGATGATATTGGTGTGTGTGTTTGTGTGTTGAAGCTTTCAGGGAGTCAGTCGGTCGATGTGTCTTCTTACAATAAAGGTTAAATTAAGCATAGAGAAATAGAATTTCCCATTATGTTCGAGGCTGCTTAGATTGTGGAAGAATATTACGAGATATAGCACAGAAGTGTTAGGGAACTGTGCGAGCAGAGTGAATAAAAACAGGACCCTTCACTTTGTTAGCAAGAGAGGGAATAATTCACTCCAGTCACCCAGAAGACAACCACAAGCACACTGAAAGTGGCGTTATTATCATTTTGTCACTAACAGCACTCAAGGCTCACATTAGGTGGGATGCAATCTTCTCCATGATCATGACAAGATTCAATTCAGTAGGAGCGAAAGTTACAACTATGCAAAGATACGGTAACTACAGACTATGCAGATTTAATAGTGAAAGAGAACTTCTACAGACAACAGCAAACAGTAATCAACAAAACTCCAGTCAGGTGATGATGTCCAAATTCCAATGGGTGATGTGAATGCCAAATTTGAAAGTAGACAACTCAGGAAGACATCTAGCTTATCATGAGTCGAGAGGAATAGGAACAGACAACTCTTTGCAAACTTCTATGCGTTTAAGGATTTCGTGATTGAAGGCAGGTGGCGTATACAACCAAAAGAATATACACAAGGCGACGTCCGTTTCACACTAGATGGACACACAAAAATTAGACAGACTTCATCTCAATCTCCAGAAAGTGGAGAGGCATCCTACTCGATAAAACATTTAGAAGACAAGCAGATATTAAATAAGACCAAAATCTAGTGTCAGGAACATTCAGAATCAATTTGAAAGCCTTCAAAGAAGCTGAAGATAGACTAAGCACTCAAGTTTAACATTTAGAAACTGAAGGACGAAGCTAAGAAAAGACACCTTCGTAGCAGTCATTAGCAAAAAATCAGAGACAAGCGACATCCCTGAAAGCGTTATGTGCAGAAACCTGCATAAACATCTTAGGCAAGAAGTAGAGTCAAGACAAGAAATAGCTGATCACAAAAAAGTGGAAGCTGATAAGCATCAAGTGGACAGTGAAACAGAAGGTGAACCAGTGCAGAAATGAACAGCTAAAGGAGAACTCAAGTATAATCTAAAAAGCATTGAAAACAGTAGTGAGGAAGAGTGCTAGGGAAGACAAAAGGTGCTTCTAAGACACACTGAAAACTGAAGTAGGTCAGGTTACAGTTAAGAGGGACTTCATAACGCCACACAAATAACCACGTAGCTCTCCAAGAAGAGATCAACACAGATGAAGCCAGTGAAATATAATGAAGCAAACTCAATTTAGCAAATAAGTACGTGAAACAGATGAGACCTTGGATCGATTACTTTAAATCAGAATCTGGAAAGCAAGACAAGCGTTCATTAGTCAGCACTCAATACAAGGAACTATATCCGACTTTCATCATCAACAACTGCTTCCGATCAACATGGTGGGAAAAAATGTAAAACAAAGAGCTCAAGCAGACAGAAAATCTTACCACATATAAAGAACATCTCAGAAATCACTGCAAGACTATTCAAACCTTTAAGAATTGATATCGCCGCATATAAACCAACAAAATAACTGTACTCGGCTCTGTGTCAACCAAAAGACTCAACAGCGAAAGAACATACGACCAACATCATCTGCAAGATAAATTGCAATGACTGAGAAAAACACTACATTCGTGAAAATGAACACCCTTTTCATCTTCCCATCCATAAACACACAGTAACCGTCAAAAAACGTGATATCCACTGTTTCACATCACTGCATACAAACAACCATGGATATCAATTCAACTGGGACAACATTCGAATATTAGACAGGGGAAACACCCAGAAAGTCGGGGAAGTTTTGGAAGCCTGGTGTTTCAATGACTCGGCAAAATTACCAGGCACATTGACAGTGAAAAAATTTTACTAATTCATAAGAGGAAAATCGTGTGCACAAAAAGTCAAACTTCATGTCAGAGAAAAAATCAATACAAATACAAATACAAATAGAAGGTATGAAGTCATGAATATATGAAACAATAAAGTTCAGCGAAGAGTCACCTTTCGGCGAATTCATTCATGCAGCTGTACAATCGCATTTGTATAGTTATTTTATGTTTGTGTGTGTGTGTGTACATTAGGATTGTCAAACAAAAATAAAATAAAAATTAGTTAGGGTCACTGTTTACGTCGTCAAAATGTTTCTAAAATGTGATGAATGATCAAAATTGTAACTAGGGTAGGTGGTGAAGATTGGTAAGTATTGACAAGGGTTGCGTAATATGAAATAGTATGATAATGGAGACATGCGTCCAAAAAATAAGTTATGTAATAGGTAGAAAGAGTAAATAAAGGGTTGGTTAAGAAAAAGATGTTACTAAGATGTCATACAAAAATTCAAAAAAAAAAACATTATTAACAAAGTCGTAGAACTTGGAATTATACCCAAGGTAGAAGGAGGGGGTAACATAAGAGCAACTAACCACGTTTAGGGTCACCAGGAGAGATGACTAATAAACTCGTGGACAAATCTAAAAGCTTACTTCAACAAATTGAAGTATTTTCATGTATTGGTTTTGTAGGGATTGCATGGAGGATTTCATCATGAGGTGACATCAGTTAGAGAACCACTGGTAAACCAACAGGGAGTACTGGACAGCTGTTTCGTCCTAGTTTGGGAACCCGCTTCATCAGTACGCACCCACCGGGATTCGAACCCAGGACCTTCTGGTTGCAAGGCGAGCTAGCTCGTAGACCACTGAGCCACTGGGACCCGATCCAATGGTCCTTGAATTCTAACTTCTGCCAATTCACGACATAGCGCGATCATTTCGCAATGTCTTCTTCGATGAGTTACTGCCTCATCTTCAACCTGATGTACCCTACTGGTCACGGCTTCCCACCAGAACCCCAGGGCCCTATTCAGGCAGTTAATCTGGGGTTCTAGTGGGAAGCCATGACCAGTAGGGTGCAGCAGGTTGAAATTGATGAGGTAGTAACTCATCGAAGAGGACATTGCCAGGTGGTAGAGCTATGTTGTGAATCGGCAGAAGTTAGAATTCAAGGACCATTGGATCGGGTCCCAGTGGCTCAATGGTCTACGAGCTAGCTCGCCTTGTAACCAGAAGGTCCTGGGTTCGAACCCCGGTGAGTGCGTACTGATGAAGAGTCCCACACCGGGACGAAACAGCTGTCCAGTACTCCCTGTTGGTTTACCAGTGGTTTTCTAACTGATGTCAGCTCATGATGAAATCCTCCATGCAATCAAATTGAAGTATGCAGTGAAGATGTTACCTAGTAGGGCAATGAAAGCTTCGCAAGTAAACCATCCAGCTCAGAGAACACAACTGCATCAAAATCATCCACCTGAGCTACAAATCTCTTCTATTGTATTCAAGACATAGAATCAGCTAACAACTTATTACCCAACTAATGTGCGAAAAGAAATGAAGGTGAATTGAACGAACACTGAGGAAACCTTCAAGTGACATTACACATGTTCAACTCTACAGTGTAACCCGAATGAGAAGTGACAGATTGGGTGTGAAGAGGAAATGAATGCCTTTGGGCAGCCGCAAAAGCCATCTGGAGGTGATTGCAGATAGCGGAATGCAATTAAGAGGTATTTTTGAAGCCTTATGTTTCAGTCAGAACGTAAAGAACGAACAATAGTAACAATGACAATAACAACAATACCTTCAACTGCATTTATAAATTTACGTGCACCTGCGGCAGCAAGTACATAGGAAGGACAGAAAGAAGGGCTTCTATCCGGTTTTCAGAGCATATTCCAAAAACACTTATGCTTAAAAGGAAGCTATTTGCTTCCTTTTACAAAGTGCAATTACCAGACACCTTGTGGATACGGGCCATTTTGTTGAGATTTCCAAATCCTCCAAAATATTAAACACACAAAGGACAGAAAATCTACTACGATTTGCTGAAGCAATTGTAATCAAACGTCTCAGACCAAACTTATGCACACAGAAAGAGAGTGTAGTCAATCTCTCACTCCCTTGGTAACCATATCACTTTCATTACACTGATTACTCATAGACACTAGTGAGTTCAACTCACTAAGCAAGTTTTCAAATTGATGAACTTTGACCTTGTTGAGTTGCCATGTTGACACTGTTTATTAGATTTTTCTGTTTTCTGTCTTCTCTCACCCCCCCCTCTTTCTTCCTTTTTTCATAGTTTGTTAGTATATAAATTGATGGTAACTTAAACTACAAAAAATTTTAATCCTTATATTCCGGATGCGTTTATCTTATAATGCTTTCTCTATTACCTTTCAAACAATGAAGTATGAAATGTTATTATTTATAACCATTGTAATTTCAGGTAGTTTGCAGCTGATGAGAACCCGTGAAATAGAATGATGATATCATTTTATACTGCAAATCTGGTCTTTCTTTCTCTATCGAAATAACAATAATAATCAGAAAAGGGATATATCTCAAGAAAAACTAAAAAAAACCCACTGAACAATAACTTACCAAACAATGTGTATTTTCCAGTATTCTTTCTAACATAATCAGCCAGTGGATCAAGTTTAAGAAACGCTGGATCAGTTATCCATGGAAACAATGCTAATCGACCAGCAGGCCGTGGTTTAGCCAACTTCGCCTCAGCTGCAGCATCTCTAGCACGAAACCATGCTTCCTGTAGGCTTGGCTGAATAGCGAATTGACGTAGAGCCTAAAAGTTTAAAATAAATACTTGATTTGTCAATCAAAATAGTGAATTTACTGGGCGTCGGTGGCACAGCGGTAGCATGCTCGCCAAACACGCCTCATGTGGTCTGGGGTTCGATCCTCGGCCACCGACGCACTTCTTTACCCGCTAAGCCAGTAATAAGACTGGTAAAGAGGGAAGGTTAGGCATGAGGCTAGCAATCCCCTGCCATAAAAATAAACACCACTGCTACTGAAACTTCCAAGATCTAGCTTGAAGCCACCCCCTTTGTTCCACTGGGAACGTAAAGGAAGAGAGAAAAACGGAAATTTACTTAATTTTATCTCTTGACAGCATTCTTATGACTTGATATGTCACAAGATGTGACTCCCCTTGACTGAGGCACTCAGAGTTCTCAGTCAGGCACAAATCTTGATATACAGAAGATTTCTCTCCAGGCAACTGGGTTCTAACAAGAGACAACTTGATATATGAAAGCATAGCATACAAGCTGATGTTTCGATGAATAACCACTTTTATCATGTAAAAGTGCTTCTAACATCAGGAACCTAGTTCAATCAATCGACAAATAAAAGAGCAGATTTCTGTTGATGTTTGTGTTCTGGTGTTCAACCTACTGTGCTTGTCCCTGATTTTCCTGGTCTCATAGAATAATTATTTTCCAGGTTTTAATGAAAAGAATGCATTAACAGCATGTCTCAAATCCTTACGCCTACCACACAGACCGAGGTCCTAATGCAGTACCAAAGAAATAAGGATTGTAGTTGTACGAATATCATGATCCGGATCAGGTGTAAAAGTTTAGGCAAATCTCAAGCATTTAACTTGTGGATGGTGACTAGCAGTGGAATCCAGGATGCACATGTCAACCTGAGACCGAGCACTTCGGTCCAATCAATCGACGGGAAAATCTAAAATCCAATTAAATCAATAAGATCCGTTGCACAAGAGGTGGCTCTCGTGGCCCAAGTGGTCTAGTGGATAATGCTTTGGCGTTTGAAACTATGGGCACTGGGTTCGAGCCTCGGTGGGAACATCATCACTCACTGAGAAATGCAGGTACATCCAGCTGGTGGACGAGTCCCAAATAGGACGAAATGAGCATCCTGGTGGATTCCACTGCTAGTCACCATCCACAAATTAAATTCTAATTAAATGCCCAGACATCGTTGAAGCATCTGCACAAGAAGCTGACATGTCAACCTGAGACCGAGCACTTCGGTGCAATCAATCGACGGGAAAATCGAAAATTCAATTAAATCGCAAGCATGCCTGCAATTTTCAAAACTATGGAAAAACTTGTCTTGCTTGTTCTTCAATCCTGTTTAGAATCTCTTAGTGATCCCAAGGAATTTGCTTACAAATGAAGTAGGAACACTTTAGATGCCGTCACAAAAAATAATTTTCAGTCTAGGTAAAGGTGCAAGGCTTATTCCTATCTGCTGCTCTTGATTCTACTCCTCCTAGGGTACTTTTACCAAGCAATCTGACTTAAACATGTACTGGGTCTTAGGTCACAAGATGGTTATCTTCTTATTTTTCAGATAGGAAACAGTTCACCATTCTTTAGTGGGGAAAAGCGCTCCACTTCTTTGCTTACAGGAGTTGGTTTTCCTTAAGACACTGTACTCTATCTATCCATTTTTTTCTCTCTTTGTTTTACATGTCTTACCGTATTCGTTTAGAGCTAATTTCATAAAATATGCCAATGGTCTAGCAATTTCTATCTCATTCATTTCTACACTACATTGTTCACGTACGAGTAATTTCCTACCTGAGGTTAACCAATGATCTCAGTTATATGGTCTTCAATTGAAACACCACTGAATTTCAAATTGTTAATTTTATTTTCAGATGTGGAGAAAACTTGCGTGGACTTATCCTGTCCCATGATTCTTGTAATATTGACGATACTATTGATAGTAAATAAATTAAATATTACCTAATCTTATCTTGGTACCACTTCCTCTTCAAATCTTCGTTGATCCCCTCATCCTATATCTTATTGATTTCCAAGGAAGATATCTTTCAGGTATTGGTTTGTAGGGATTTGATTGGTTACAGGATTTTCATCATGAGCTGACATTGGTTAGAGAACCATTGGAAAACCTGGAAGAACTGGACAGCTGTTTCGTCCCTGTTTGGGGCTCTTCAGCGCTACGCACCCACCGGGACTCGAACCCAGGACCTTCAGGTTACAAAGCGAGCTCGTATACCATTAAGCCACTGGGACCCGATCCAATGGCCAATCCCTGAATTCTAACTTCTGCCAATTCACGACATAGCGTGACCCCTAGCCAATGTCTTCGGCGAGTATTTTTCCTCACACCCGACCTTCTGCACCCTACTGGTCACGACTTCTCACTAGAACCCCAGGTAACCACCTACCTGAATAGGGCAAGTCGCTAGTGAGTATCTCATTGATATTCAGGTGTAGGGTGCAGCGGGTCGGGTGTGAGGACAAATACTCGCTGAAGACATTGGCTAGGGGTCACGCTATGTTGTGAATTGGCAGAAGTTAGAATTCAGGGATGCGCCATTGGATCGAGTCCCAGTGGTTTAATGGTATACGAGATTGCTTTGTAACCTGAAGGTCCTGGGTTCGAATCCCGGTGGGTGCGTAGCGCTGAAGAGTCCCAAACTAGGACGAAACAACTGTGCAGTAATTCCAGGTTTTCCAATGGTTCTCTAACTAATGTCAGCTCAAGAAGATATCTTTCGTTTGAATTACTGTACAATAAAAGTTGAGACTCTCGGGTATAACTCAAGCTCCTCTCTTATTATTTACCAATTCATATACTCTGCACATTCTTCTCTAATCTTCCTCCCTTATTATTATTATTCCCTGAACCAACATTGCAATCCGTGACACATTTTGTTGGAAGTCGTGGAGTCTTAAAGCAGTAACTGGACTTGCTTAACTTATTTTGACTACTTAAAAGCTCTAGCAGTAACGAAACATACCATCTCAATATAATAACAATAAGAATAATTGACGACATTTATTAGAAGAAAAAAACAAAAATAATAATAATAACCTTCAAATTACCCGCAGTTTGTTTTTTGCTTCCAAAACAGTCTTCCGATAAAAAGACTCATACTCTTCTCTACCAGCATAAAGTCGTAAACGAGTCTGTGGAAGAGTGAGAAAAGTTAGCGGTCGAATGAGACCCAGAAGACAGACTCGATATGTGGCGGGTATTGTTTCTGACTCTGAGGAAAAAATACAAATGGCAAGCAAAATAAAATCATCTGTAGACAAATATGGAAGATATCTAATTTTTTCTTTAAAAAAAAACAAGACATTTTAGCATTCTCATATACTATTTGCAAGTTAATTATTTTTCCTTTACCTTCCGAGTGGAACATAGAGAACTTCAAACTTCAGCTTTGAAGTTTTGGTAGCAAAGGTGTCATTTTTAGGGGATGGGGTCGCTGCCAACTTCACACCCAGCGCCTTCCTTCTTTACCGGCTCTGCTACCGTCTTAGCGCGGGGTTTAGGAGTGCGTCGGTGGCTGGGAATTGAACCCCGAACCACATGAGGCGTGGTTGGCAATGTGTTCTAACACTGAACTCCCCGGACGCATACAAGTTAATTAAGCTACAACTAAATTATTGTGCTAGTCAGTCACTTATGTGTAATATGAAGTAAAAAGAAATCTAAATGTATCAATACATAGTTTAAGCTCCGCGTTTAAATCAAGCTGAAATACTCAATAATTAGGATAAGACGACTATAAAACATTGACTGGCTTCAATATAGAACTTAGTACAGAAGCACAGAAGTTTCAGTTATCACACTTCATATAGTACACTGGCTGGCTGGATTCAACATAGAACTTGGCACCAAAGTGCAGCAGTTCCAGTTGCCACGTTCCATATAGCACACAAAGGTAGACAAGAAGATGAGTGAAGAGAATCAATAGAGTTTTGACAAGTATAAGAGTGAAACAGAATGGGTAATGGTAGAAAGGAATATGAAGGTTAAAGAGACTGAATACATCTGCGTAAGCCATTGACAACGATTTTGAGCCATGTCACCTATTGTCTCCAGCCATTGATTCTTAGAGTCTCGAGGGCCCCAACCCGGAAGTCTGCATCTCCCTCCTTACCTGACTCAGTTTAACTGTCAAGGATTTCATGGATTGATGCCATGTTTTTGTTTGGCCACCACTTACTCTTTTCCAACCTGCACCTATATCAGCTAGTAATGCCCGTCGGGGGAGGCGATGGTTAGGCATGCGCAGCACGTGACCTAGCCATCTCAATCTATGTAACTTTAAAGCCTCTTCGATTGGTTTTCCCTCTTTGCTCAACACTCTACGCCTAACATCAACATTACTTACCTTATTATACCACCTAACGTGAGAAAGAGATCGTAGACATCTATGATCAAAAACAGTCAACCTTTTCATGTCTTCAACTCGTATTGACCATGTTTCAGAACCATATAGTACACAAAGAAAGACAAAAGAGACTTAAAAAAATGGTAACAAGCAGAAAGAATCGTGACATGAAAAACAATGGGGAGGATTAATGGATAAGGCAAATCACAAAGACTGAATGCATCTGTGCCCCCTGAGAATGACTTTGAGCCGCATCACCAACAGTCAGCCTTTATCGACTGATGTCAGGTAGCAGTCTCACCACCCCTAACTCCTATGTCAGGCAACATCACTCCATGAGAAAGGCGGTGGCTCGACATACTTAACACGTGTCCTAGTCATCTCAACTGGTGCATCTATACATAGTCTAGTCGATTGACTTACCCTCTTCACCGAGTACTCTACCTCTAACCTCAATATTACTCACCAGATTGTACCACCTAGTTAGTACAAGAGATAGAACGCAAACATCTGGAGTCAAATAAATCTAACCTCTTCATGTCTTCCACTTTCAATGGTCATATCACACAGCTATAAAAGAGGACAGAGAGAATTAGTGAGCAGTACACACGCTGGATATCACGTCTACACCAGAGATGACGTAAGTTGGTAAATGCTACGAGCCTTTTTCTATCCTTGCTAAGATTTAATCTGAAATCAGAACTTCCAAACAACAATGGGGGAGTTGAATTAAGCTTCCACAGAAAATAACATAATAATAATAAACAGGTTAGTTTTATTTGGAACTCCAAATATGTGAGATTGAATTAACTAGACAAAAGGCGAATAAACAATAATATACTTATGAAGATTATTTCCTTTACAAGTAGTGATTGTTAGCGAAAAACCATCTTTGCATCCGATAAATCTATGTGTAAGTCAGTTCTTACTTTGCATCCATGCAGTTAAGATGGATGACTGGGAGTTACACAAGAACCTTTACTTCATATAAGTCTAAATTAACAGATGCGTTTAAACTAATAAGTGCAAATAGTAGAGATAAAATAAAGTTACCAACCTCTCCTTTGTAAGTCTAGAACTGAATTCTCTATAGTGTTAAGTATAGTCATCACATAATTACGCTATACTCGTATGTCTACTTGTTCAGAAATTTTCTCGTATATGATAAAATTATGCGTTCAAAAAAAATTAATTCAGGAGGTAGTGTGCACAGTGGAGTGCTGGTTTGTACTGCTAGTGTCGACTGACTGACTCGTGTCAACATAGAACTTTCCACAGATGTGAGGCAGTTCAAGTCGCCACACTTCACTTAACACACAAAGCAATAGAAGAAATTAAAAAGAAATGCAAAACAGAAACAGTAAACAGGGATATGAGGCAAAAAGAATAGTAATAACGAAGAACCATGTGGTTTAAATGTATATTATAAGTCACAAGGAGTGGGTGCATCTGCGCCGTCATTGAGAACAAGGATTTTGAGCCATATCACCGATTGTCTTCAGCCTTCATTGGTTTTTAGTCTCGAGGACCCTAACCAGTCAGGAAGTGTACACCTCCCTACGTGGTTGACTGGCTGGCTTAAACTATCTGTTGTGGATTTCATTGACTAGTGAATCCATGTTTTGGTTTGACCACCACTAGCTCTTTTCCAACCTGATTCATACTGTGTCAGCCAACATTGCCCGTCGAGGAAGGCGATGACTAGGCAGGCATGCGTTACACATGTCGTAACCATCTCAATCGATGTAACTTCACAGCTTCGTCTATTGATTTCCCCTCCTTACCTAGCACTCGAACGAAGCCTAACCTCAATATTGCTCACACTATTATGCCACTTCACACACTACTACTGCTGAATAAAACACTATTCATCAAGGGATGAACTAAAATACTCAGTGACTACTAAGTACTACTACAGGACAATAATAATTAGCGTAAAGTTTATCTCCTACTAATCGCTGTCAACTTCATTATGAATGCAGCTTAAAGGCTAGACGAAACCTGGAATTTTAGAACACACTCCTCCCCCCATAATCATTCGATATTTGAGGGGTGGCCAGGCTATGGAATACACTTGAAATAACTAACACAAAACCAAAAACAATTACACATAAGATAATTAAATTTGTATAAACATACTTCAGCCAGATGTTTCCACTGCTTAAAGACATACACTTACCTGAATATTTTTTTGGTTTTGCAACCACTATGGCTGGCCACCAAGGGAAATTGTCGGGTGGAAGTGAACGCGCCCAAACTAATTCCCCAACCTGCCATACATTTGTATTCTCAGCGAGTTGAACAGGCGTGCGCCTAGACAACTTTGAGTATAGAAGTTTACGACTCACTGCCTTTGCCAACATGGTCTTCTTTCGAGCCACTGAAGTTAGACTACTCTGTTGAACATGACCTTTATTGAAACTAAAGACAGAGAGAGAGAGAGACAGAGAGATGTAAAACAAGCAGAGTATTCATCTTTACAGAAACTGTTAAATTAGTCAGGTTACCTAACCAAGACGATAAAACATATGCATCCAACAACTGACAGCAACCAATCCAAATTATCTCAAAAGTTATAAATAGCACGAAACTTAAAGCGTTTATATTCAAGCAGCTATATCTGCTGAAATGCAGTCAACATTGTTAACTAGTTAACACGTAACACTTCATCCAACCATCCTCCTTATTGACAATGGAACTGATCAACTTATGAAATAGTGCCTCAAAATAAAACATAGTTGTCCTGAGCGCTGAGCCATAATAAATGCTCCATTACTTCATAATGAAAAGTTCAAGTTTTATATAATCCTTCCAATTTGAAACACAAACTTCGTACAATATAGGTAACAAGATATGAGATACTACCTGACAGCCAAGGCTGACAACCGGTGGTTGTCATAATGAATCACCCGTCGAGCTTTTGACTTGAAATGTGATCCATAAGACAGCACAGAATAATCGGCAGCCATGTCCTTATAGTTGCGGATCGCCAAGACAGGTTCATCATACGACATTCCTTTCTTTCGGACTATAGAGTTTAAGTGTTATATGACTCCATAGCGGAGAATCTTGTTACAATCGAAAAGTGGCGAGATGAATAATGTAAACAATGTAAAGTACTTCCTTCTAATCATGATCTTGTATGACCATTCTATATATTATATCTAGTCTTCGATTATATCTCTATCATACCGCCATAAATTTAGACTTTCTTGTTTTATCAACAGAACTGAGTTTATGAAAATGGATTCATTCATCAATAAAGTGAAGCATAACAAGACTGGAACAAATAGTATTTCTGTAGCTCATTATCTAATTTTCAAAACATTCAGTTGATGACAAATACATATATACGTGATGTTGGCATTTTATAGTGTAACTAAATTTAAATTAGAACATTTTACTGTAGTCTTACATTTTAGTATTAAAATTCACATTTCGATTGAAAGACGGTTTCACCGACTTCATCACCTCTTCTTCCGATTTTTCAGCTCTCTTTACTTCATCAGAGCTACTGTCATCATTATAATAATGCAGAAACGGTTGGGGTTTGTGCTCAGGTTCGTCACTCGATGAATCCAAGGACATATAATAATCAGATAGCGGTAGACTTTTTCGAGGTGAATAATTTATACTTTCTAACTTCTGTTTAGTCTCTTCTTGTCCATAAAATCCACTGATTTCGGCATAAGACGTTGTTGCCTCTGGAGAATGCGTGGAACCTTCTGCCGACTCAGGTTTTAAAAGACTTCCATTATAATCCCAATCTATATCACTGAATTCATCCAAGGATGAATCTGGGCTGTGCTCTGAGGATATATCTTCAAAACTAGTATCTGAGAATGGACCTGTTGTGTGATATGGTGAAGTAGTCGGAGAGTCATCATCCATATTTACAATAAATGGTATTTCTAAAACAGAAAAAAACAATTAGGTCAAAAAGTTGAGGACTATTTTGAAGCATTACAACCAGTTGTCAATTGTGCACATTGATCTATTCAAGCTTCTTTTACACAAAATAACATTTAACACGTGAAAAACGAGTCACATTGATAAAAGAGATGAGGAGCACCAGGTTTTAGAAGTTACACAGTATTTACCGTTTCAGAATGCCATTTTACAACTGTTACTTCAATATACTTCCGATATATTAGGGAATACAATAAAACCAAACAGGTAAGCATCCGAGGTATGTATATACGAAAAGGACCCCTCTCAGAAAACAGAATGAAAAAGGGGACTAGGAAACAGTACCTGTTATCTTCCAATAAAATAACTTAACACTTATATCTTAAACTTACAGAAATATGTAACACGGGGTAACCTAATAACTTGGTGCCTGTTCTTATACCAAACTATGAGTTATACTTGACTGTACCTGAACTTATAATACCACTCAGTTTTCCAGATCGAAGTAGATGGTGTAGAGTATGAATACTTAAAAGTCAAGTACTCAGTTAAACTCAATTAAACTACCTTAAAATGACAACACAAATATCGTTTATAAAGCTTATAGACATGTATTTTGAATTCCAAAAAATTGGGACACATGAACACTAATGATAAATACTATTCCAATGTCACATAGTGGTACTAAGAAATAAAGTGAATCCACTTTCTGCTAACGCTGACTATCACAATACAAGCTCATTTCAGTTCCACTATTAAAAGAGGTTTTCTTATAACAAATTATGAAGTATACAATCATACAATATAAAAACCTAACCCACACTGGTAAGCAGAAAAAGAAAACAAGAAATGAAAACTATGAAGGAATAAAGGAATAACACGCTTATATCATACCACAAAGTGCTTTTCATCTAATGTAAAGGTAAACAAGTCTTCCATAGTGACGTATGTTAAATGCACTGTAATACGGGGAATAAATCAAACACCCTTGAATCAAATCCAGGGGTTTATAAATCTACGCAGACATGGAGGTGAGCCAGACATATAATCACTTTAATTGGTCAGCTAATCTAAGAAAGTCTTCTCAGAGATGCAGGTTACACAAAGAAGTGCAAAGTATAATTACATTCCTTTCGAGCACATTAGTGTATCAATCGAACCAGAAATAGACGGTATGCCCGTTAGTGTAATCCCACTTCTGAAACTGATAGAATCTACAAGATTGTCAAATTCGTACACTTGTTACGGAAGGATATTGGGAACATCTTAATTAACAACTAGCAATAATTATGTATGATGCTAACATGGCTTTAGAGTGTGGCGCTTTAACCTCCAATGTTTGAAGTAAGTTTCTAATCCCTAAACTGAAGTCAAGAAATTTATGGCTGAAGATATTATGGCTGAATGATGTAGTTAGAGATAAGTTGTGAAGCAGCGTTTCATCGAGTCTTAAAATATATCCCCTACCTGTAGCTTTAATTCGACTTGTACAGATTCACACCGTACTTCTCATCACATGGATTAGTCTTCTGATGACAACTTAAGAAGTTTAACGTTCTCCCATTACTGCATTAATTAAGAACGTAACTCGAGCAAAGTACTATAGTGTACTTATTTATTTGATAAATCTGAGGTGTTCAATTAACACTAACCATGAGCGGACCATAAGTGTCACTTACTTTAGGATTTTAACCACTTTTAACCGCGCAAACAGCGCAACATAAGTTGTCGGCTAGGGACAAAAACATTTCATGTACAAAATGACATCTTTGCTATTCGAGATTTCCGAAGTATAACCCTAAATAACCGACAAGCCACATTCAAAATAACAGAATAACTTGCTTACAACTCTTCACATGGGGTATTTGTAGGTAAGTATTACGTTTTCGGTCTCACAAGGAAGTCAACTCTACATTAGTTTCTTACGCCATGTCACATATCATATGTACTTCACCGAAGTCCTCAATCAAACAACAAACGAGCAAACCAGAACAATTGAATTTATTGGAGAAAATTTTTAATAGACATTTGAATTACATTAATCGAAATTCGCGGAAATTTCAGGTACGACAAATGCTTTCCCCTGCTTCTGAAATTCAGCTCTGAAAAGAAGCACAATAGTTTCACTTTAAACATACCTCAACTGGTGAGTAAACTCATCATCTACTATATCATCGTCCCAGTTGTCTTCCCAAAGTGTAGCTTCTTCACCAGCAGGAACACCAGAACATGCTGAGAAAATTATGATTAACTGTTCAGATTACCATGTGCTGGAAACTCTTCAAAATCATCATCTTCTTCCAATATCGCTACATCCACCTTTTCTGCTGGCTTTGAACTTTTTTTCTCAACAGCATTCTCTTTAGATTTCCCTTTGGTATCGTTGACAGTCATTCTGTGACACGCACAAATTTGAAATAGGAGTACAAGGTCGCATCCAATATTCAATATCGTTTCTACGAGGTCGTGTAAAATCGAATTAATTTCTGTACACTCGCCTCTAGGTTGTAAAGGTTGGCCGTCTCTGTTAGACTTCTGATTAGTTGGTCCTTACACTCCAATATTCCATACCGTTTTTTACGAGCTAGTGTTAACCAATTTGATTTCTTTGTGCTCGCTTCTTGATTGTAAGGTGCAAGTTCTTGGTCTTCGCTAAACTTCTGTGTGGTTTGTCCAGCAACTCTAATGTCACAGCCTCGTTTGACTCCAAAAATAGTGGTGCTGGCATTAATTATTTGCTGTTTGCAGTATGCAGTGTGTTAGGACCGTGTTGCTCCTGTGAATGGAGTCGATCTTTACACCAGTTAGTCATCCGCTGTCGTCAACAAAAGAAAAGAGTAAAGGATAATAGATATTGTAGTGGTAAATAATTCTCCAAAATTATTGACCACAGCAATCATCACTCAACATTGGATGCTGACTCTCACTGTTTAAGTCGACTTGTTTAGCTGAAGGCTTCCGGTCAAGCATCCTCGCCATTCGGTACTCCATCGTGTCACATGCGTGCACGATCACTAGCTAGTTAGACACTCGATACGGTATACTATTTGGTACCGAAAAATATCACGTACTTCGGACGACTAAATCCGGTCTTTTGTTTTGTATTTGGTACACGAGAAACGAATACTTTAGAAGTTGCTGGTATAAAATCTTGCGTTGGTATACTCCATACAATTCGCGTACGTCGATACCGTCAACCTCCATTTTATGCAAACTAAAAGAAAGAAAAATAAAGGAGACATAAAAACAGACACACACATTGTGTGTAATCTATTAAAATGCAATTATAATTCATTTAAAAAGATGAGTTTAGATGTTCACCCATTAATAATGCATGAGTTTCGAAAGAACAGGTCCTTTGGACACAGTCCCTGTATCGCTGTCTCCACCTTAAGCTGTCAACGGACGGTGAAGTAGCTACGTCTACCAGCAAAAAGTTCCAAGGACGGCAAACTTGCAGCGAAATGACATGGGAGGGCACTCATGTCTTTTTCTCCTGGTGAGCTGTTCTTCAGGGATTCCCCCTGAGAATCCCATACGTACCTAACCTCATAACACATTTGTTTTGGTGATTTTGGTCATTCATAACCCCATAGGCGGTAATCAAGCCCCTCCCTAAGCCTAGCTAAGTGTGGAGAGGCATAATTTATTTAGCCTTTCATCATGTGGTTTCTTTCAGAGACCCATCATCCCTTTTGTCTCCTGTCTTCGGACTCGTCATAATGGTCCTCGTCTCTTTGAAGCAGTGTAGGTGCAGTTATATTGGCTGACATGTTCTGTACAACTTCAGAGCTCAGAAGTGAGTGTACCTAACTTTCTATCAGTACAGTGTATGGCCGCATATGCCCCCACTACATTCCCTATGTAATTCACGCTTCTGTCTATTTTTTCCGTTAGAACTAGACCTAAGTCACGCTCCAATGTTGTGCAGGACAAGTTTTCGTTCTACAAGGCTCAACTTGCACTCTGCAGCCCACAGTTGCATGACTTCACTTCTTTGCACTTTTCCAGGCTGAAAGTCACATCATTAGCCGCCTCGCAGTCTTCCAGAAGTTGATGTGTGGGGAGAGCTGTCTGCAAGACAAAATTGTAGACAACAATTTTTCGTCAATGTTTACGTCCCAAATCAGGTTCATGAGAAAAAACAATAACAAAGCGTAACCTTCAGGGGCTCAACTACCAATCACAGCAGACTTAACGTGTGCGAATACGATTCGCAGATATATGGCCTAAATTCCTAAGAAACGGTCACAAGCAGTACAGAATAACATTCAGCAAGGAAACAACCAATCAGAAGACGTTACTTCTCTGCTAAAGCAAAGAATTATAATGTACATAAAAATCTACAAATATCTGTTGATCTTCTCAATGAACTATCTTTTACCTGGCCCTTGTCTACTGTCGTTACAGTAGGTGTACCTGCGTCCTATGAGTCTGCCGAGCACTTCGTCGCTGTCCTAATCTTTACGTCGTCCGCGTTAAGAAGAGTCAGGGAGCTTAGGTGGCATGACAAATCATTGATAAAATTCAAAATTATCACTGGCCCTACGACAGAGCTTTGAAATACTCCAGATGACGAGCTGTGCAGGGATAATCAGACTCAACTGACCTCGGTACAGAATTCCCTTTCAACTAAGTAGTACCCAACCATGACAGAAGCGGGCAACCTGTATCTGACTGACTTGTTCAGTGACGGAGAAGGTCATGGTCAATTGCCTTCGACAAACCACGTTGTGCTTCATGGAACCTATTGGTCTTTTCAAGGTTTTCTGTGATATGACCATCGATTATAATTCCCAGTACTTTTGATACCACTGGGAGTAGTGCTACCGGTCTATAACTGGTGCCCTTTTGCCTGTCTCATCTGTGCAAATAGGAGACAGAATGGCTCTTATCCACTCCCTTAGCGGTCTCCCTGAATCCATCGAGGGTTAGAGCAGACTGCATAATTGCTTACAGACAACTTCAGTGCACTGTTTTAGAACAGATGACCAAACGTCGTCACAACTTGAGGACTTTCCGGATCTAGGTTTCTGGAACTGCACTAATACCATTGTGAGATTTATTTGGAGCGTAGCCACTTGATTTTCCTTCGGTAAAATGGTAGCGCCACCTATTTGGCCCATACCGGTATAACTGTCTGTCAATATCTGCACTGTATATCTCGGCCATTTCCAAACTAGGGACATACTGGCCCTTTGAACCTATTAATGTCAGTGCACCCTGGCTGGTCGGCTTTCTCTCCCACATGAACCGGCTCAGAATTCTGGGGTCCGCCAGAAGTTTTCTGGCAAGATTTGCCTGAAATGACCTCCCGTCACTACTGACTGCTGTGTTGCATTGTTTCCTGTGTTCCAGATGCGCATCGTGGTCGTTTGACCTGACTTCTGGTGATTCGCCACGTAGAATAAGCCTTCCGCTTCGCTTGCAGGATACGTTGCGCACCTCTCTATGGCCATGGGTATATTTTACATACTTTATCTTTCTGCCATTCTGCTGCTGAGATTACTCTTCTATATACCTTCTGGTCGAGGTCGAACAACCCAACATCTAAACTGAAATGACCATTTAAGTAAATTCAAACTCAAATTCCATGAACGATCCGATGCAACCACTTGAAAACGCTGGCTGACATTCCGTACAAGGAGTATTCTTGATCTGATATAAAGAAACAACTGGTTATCAAGCAGTTTTCAATGAATTACCCAACTTACATGTACAGTCTGCCATGCTGACGCAAATGGCGCAAATGGATAGTTCTAGAATTGACCTCGGCCCCATTTGCTGCAGTAAAACAGTCTAACATTACCTTATCTAATTTTCGTATCAAAGATCAAATTTCTTTCCTATTATAAAACTACGATTAGACTGCTGAAAAAATGTAATAAATACATCACTGACCTCGAAATAATACATCAATAAACTTTATCTCATGGATGCTGTTCACAACAAAGTTTTATAGGAGAACTGACTTCAAGCTTTATTTTTCCCAGATATTTGTATTACATTCATCTGAAGTCTGGGATTTTTGTTAATGCGAAGACAATATTTCTATATCTCTTCATGTGTTACACAGACAGACTATTTTGCAGACTGTTCCAACTGACTCATGTCAGAAAGAACAAACAAACTGTAAATTCAACATACATCGAAACATGTGTAATTTATATAATAACTTATCCATGCCTGTACAATTGGTATGTTCCTGCATAAACAGGAGTAAATAAATAAATAAATTTCTTTGGTGGTATTGTGACTAGAGGGACAGTGTCTGAGATTGCTATCTGAGTAATCCTTTTTACCACTTCTCAGTGTTCATCCACGGATAACTCAGCCTGTGGTGAGAGCTGTCTGCTAGCCAAATGGGTAGACAGTAATTTACGTCAATGTTTACGTCCTCAAGATTTGTCGTGAGAAAATATGAACAAAGACTGATTCAAAACCGACCACAGCATACTTTGCGTAGGCGGATACAGTTAACATGTAGATGATCTGACATTCAAGAAACAGTCACAAAGAGATGAAAGATTAACTTTAAGTGAGAAACAACCAATCAGAAGGCTGTGTTTGCTTGCTTAACTAAACTTTAATAATGTACATGAAAATATATAAATATGCTTTGATTTCTTTAATGAATGATCTGTTGCCTGGCCGTAGTCTTCGGTTGTTACAAGCCTAGTCTTTGGGCCATACCGCATTGGACAAAGACACCGTGTTTCGGCACAGTCGGCTCTGTCAGTGCACAGGCAGGGTAGCGTAACATCCCATAGTAAGCGCGCACGACGAGCGAGATCAGACACTATAACTGAGTGGTCACTTCTACCTAGTGAGGTCACGATTTGGAGGTTTTCGACTAGTAACTGGTCACTAGTTCGGATACAGTTCAGTTTTGATGACTTACCAGTAGAGACTGGCCTAATGTCGTCTCCAGAGTTCTCTGTCAATCCTGCATTTCTACTGGTTAGTAGCAGGTTTTGATAGATCTTTCCTTCAGCATACATTCAGCCAAGGTTAATGGATGGGGTGTTGAAGTCCCCAGCCAGAGTGATTTCGCCATAACCAAAGTCCCGTATTCCTGTGATGGTGCTGAGCAGTGGCTGGTTTTGCTCTGCCCCACAGCTAGGTGATCGACAGATACCAACCAATAAATGCTTGGTGTGGCCTGAAGTGAAATGGCACTATATAAGTCGGGCAGTTCAGTAAGTGGTGGGTCCATTGCACGTACCCATTTAAACCGCTTGTCTAAGTATTTGGTAACTCCCTCCTTCCTTGTTATCTCTGTCCCACCTGACAAGAACCATACCACTTATTTTGGTTTCGTTGTCGGCAATAATGGGGGTTAGTCAGGTTTTAGTTATGATTATTATTTTGGGGAGTAGGAGTGATTGGAGGTTTCTGAGTTCACTTACGTTTCCCCCAGCCCCCTTACATCGCTCT